CACGTCATCACGACACCATATCCGGGATGGCCACGTACATCTCCAAGTCACAAAATATCTGTTCAAGTCAAAGCACCTACAGATAAAGCAAGCCACTTGGTTTTCCACGTCAGCTTCTAGCGGAACACTCACACGATTCACCCCACCAAGCCCACGACAGCTCCAAATCAACAAACCTTACCTTCCATACTCTACCCTATACTCGAAAGGAGAATGAAAATAGAAGCACGAGCTTCACGGTATACTCCCCACAGCGTAGACCTTATCCTCATCTCATCCAAAAGACGCGGGCACCAGTACGTGTTCCCTACTTCTGTAGGAGGATGCCATCGTAGCTGAAATGAGTTTGATGAAAGAAAGACTAAAACAAAACTGAAGAAAGAAAAATGTGGAAACATCTCAATCTTCTCCGCATTGCATGCTCGCAAGATAACGTAGCTTCATGTGTGACGTGATGGGAAACTCAAGTCTGAGAATACTCGGCGAGGTATCTCAAGAGACTCATATACACTTCTTACCTTTCACTCGCAAAAGACACCTCCAGGCCACTCGCGCTCCCAAAGATTCTGTAAAGGAGCACAGCAATAGGCCACGGCGAATACTGAGCATGCAATGCAACCACGAGAGCATTCGAATCATCTACAGACCCATGCAGGACAGAACGTCTGATTCGCCGATCAAAACCCCGCTAGATGCGGGCAGATAGCCGACGTCCGCTCCGCACTCAGAGGCCAGCGGCGCACGCGACAAGCGCACCTCTGACCTTTCACCTCTCTCGGTCAGCGCCGTCGGGCCAGATTAATAAACCATGTCACGGCGGAAGCAACGCAAGTAACGCACGCTACCCGCGGCACATTGCCGATAAATAGGAACCAGAGCCGTGAGGGGCGGATAATCACACAGAATACGGACCGCAATCAGAGATACGAAGACAAAACCCCCATCAAGGCTGGAACAGGCAATACCGTGCGGTTTCGTGGGGGTGGGTGTTGAGTACGTAGTATGTGATTCCATTAGAGTCGAGACCGAAAACCCGGGTTGACTGGGGTCGGAGAGGTGTCAGGGATGGGGGTAGTTCGAAGGAACTCTACTGGCTGGGTTAATTCGAGCATCCCGTTCCAGACTTGGAACCTTGACAGCCCATCCGCCGTCGCTCCTGCGGCCTGCAACTATACTTATTCTAGGTTGGAGGGCTGACTAGATGTAGGACTCGCAAAGTTGAGTGAGGTAAGTGAGACGCGCCCGGAGACGCTCAGATCATCGTCAACTTCAGACGGTGCGGCACCGTGGAGCACCTGACGCGGGGCCCCGGTACTGAAGGTCTGCTGCGACTGCTGCAAGCTTGCTGGACCGGGGAGGAGGAATGAACACCTTTGAGTCGGGCTGACGAAGGTATAAGAAGCTTGTCGGGCCTGCCATGCATCTCCCGCGCGGACGAACCGGACATGTCACGATCTCCACGATTTGCGGCCCAACAGATTGCTGCAGTTGACTAATCCGCGTCCCAACCGTACGACGTATTGCCGCATTGTCTACCAGACATCACACCATAGACGAGATTTGGCCGACGGATGAAGCGGAACAGATCAAGACACTGCCGGCGCCAGTATTTAAGAGAGTGTCCCCCCCCGTGATCCCCTCCTTTTACGTCGCTCAGCGGCCTCTTTACGCATCACAGACGCAACAACGGCTCTCCAACAGATAGGTGTGCATCATTTATGTGTGTGTAGCGATTGTTTGCCCAGCCGTTCTCCCCGCGCTGCAGAATTACTTGGGTGTGTGCGTGTGAGTGCTGTGTATCGACGCAGTGTTTGTTGGTGTGGACGAGTAGCCGTGGTGCCCCCCTCCCCAAATCCCCGCATTCTGTTTACCCCTCGCGCCCCGCCTCGCGACATTCTTCCCCCGACTTGGCCGAGTTCCGTCGTTTTCTCCGCCGGCCGTCGACTCTCGAGTCCAAGGTCACACCCCCGCTGATCGATCGGCTCTAAGCAGACGCTCCAGCTTCGCCAGGCCGACGGCCGAGTCCGCGGGACACACTTGGGTCAGCCCTCCGCCGAGCACATTTTGCGAGCAAAAACTTCACCACCTCCGCCATCGACGACGAACCCTTCAAACGCGTCCAACGAGCATCATGTGGTCCAACAAGCGTTCTTCTCCCCCCGCGCCCGGTAGCCCAACCGAGGTGGAGGCTCCTGCGCCCGTATCCTCCAGACAGAAGAACCCCGGTCGTCGCATTGCCCAGATTGTGAAGCTCAAGCCCGAGTTCATCGACAAGTACAAGGAGGTCCACGCCAACGTCTGGCCCGAGGTGCTCAAGCAGATCAAGGAGTGCAACATTGTCGACTGTAGGTCATCCGTCGGTGTCGGCCCCAACACGGCAGACTGCGAATCCCGATGTCGGGCGACTTTTCAAAGCTGACTTTCAACAGACAGCATCTGGCACGAGCCCGATTCACGTATTCTGTTTGCGACCATGAAGTACGTCGGCTACGACTTTGCCGGAGACATGGAGAAGATGAAGGAGAACCCCAAGGTCCGCGAATGGTGGGCCATGACCGACGGCTGGCAAGAGTCTCTGGTTCCCGGCGCGGTGAGCAGTGAAGCAGGCGAGCCGGCGTGGTGGAAGCCCGTCGAGGAGGTGTTCTACACGCCTTGAGAAAGAGAGAGAGAAGTTTGGTGGGATGAGGGGATCGAGTGTATTGCATTATTAGTCAACGACCAGCCGAATGATGAGCGTTTCGTTTTGATCACGTTCGGTGCCCTTGTGTGCCTCGTGCTGCCAGATGCACCAGACACATGGTTTTGCTGGAAGTATGCCCGATTGGTGACCCAGCCGAGCGTCCCTCTTGATCATTTGAAACCACCAAACAATCCTCCAAAGACGCCGCCGGATCCTCCGCCTCCTCCGCGCTGGCCGTGCCGCCGAGCCTCAGACCTGATCCACTCTTCGAGGAAAGCGCGGTCTGTCAGCTTCTTGGCGTCGTGAACCTTGGTCTGTATCTGGGCCTCTTGGTTGTCGAAGCTTAACAGAGTCGGGATAGAGGTGATCATGTAGGTCATGCCTAGTCCTCCGCTCATGACGTCGGGAGAGTCGAATTCGACGGTGCAATAGCCAACGCCGCCCTCGGCTTCACCGACACCAGACTCTACGATGGATTGTATTAGAGGGGCAACGACTCGACATGTCCCGCACCAAGACGTGGTCCACAGTGTTATCAGTGGTGTGCGAGAAGAGGAAGAGAGGAGTTGATAGGTGTGGAAGTCGTCAGGACGGCGAACACTGGCACCCGAAGCAGAGGTTAGCGGACGGGTGCTTTCGAGAGGAGAGGCCAGGGCAAGGATTGGACAGAGAGGTTGGAGAATCTGCGGTGGCCCACTTACGATGCGTAGATCTGGTTTTTGGCCGGGCTGGTACGAGACGTGGAGAAGTGGGCAGCGGCGGCAGAGATGGAATGCTTGGGGGGCGGAATACGGACGCCATTGGTGAGGTTGCTGTTGCAGCCCCGGAAAGTGGTGCGGGCGGTATGTCTTAGCAGTTGCATGGTGATTTTACTGCAGGATATGGTATGGTGAATGTCGATTGTCTTGTCTGGTCTGTTCAGATGCCAAGGATGTATGCAGCGTGCTGCCGACTGACGTCGTTGAAGATGATCCCGTGATGTGTCGTGATGCGAGTCGCGCCGCTGAGATGCGACAGAATTCTTGGACAAGAACGAGTGGAGGGCTGCAGGTGGCAGTTGTGGGAGTACCTGTGATATGGAGGAAGCTAACAAAGATATCTTTGGAGCCAATGGTTCGATAGAGCACAGGGCGGTGGTAGTGGATGGATGGTTATGTAGCGTCAACGGTTTTCCGAGCAGCTGGACAGCTTAGTCGAGATTTTAGGTAGGTAGGTAGAATTACTTAAGGCTGGTAGCTGTTGTTGTCAATGACGGGAAAATCCGACGTTCACCTGGAGGTCCGGTCGCAATCGAAATCAACAGGAGGTGCACCTTCCTTCCTGGCAGACGGCGCTGGCGGGCTCAAACCACGGTAGGCTCCATTGGGGAAGGCGGTGTAGGAATATATGGGGTCAGACCTTGTCACGCACGCGGCACGATGACGTTGAGGCTGCATGACATAAGCAAGATTCTGCAGGGCTCTACCTCAGGCTTCAGCGAAGCGCAGGGCAGGCACGGGCAGGGAAGGAGTCGAGGACACCAACGGCAATTGCGGTAAGGTAAGGTAAGTGCAGGTGCATCCCGTCCTGGACGCCCAGACATGGCGCCTGCTGTTTTTTGTCTTCAGCTTCGCACTCTGACTCTGCCCAGACTTGCCAGGTACGGAGTACTTTACACCGCAAGGTAAGGAAGGTACATCGTATTCTGTACTTCTTGCTTGGCGAAGGAAGGTTCCAAATTAATTGCTCCTTGTCTTGTTTTCCGTCAACCACCACTCAGCCGCATTTTAATCGCGGCGCAAGACCAACGACAAGACTCTCTACATCACACATACACAGTACGCACTTCACTTAACCTTTCTCTATGCGACGGGCAGGCCGCAGAATAACACACGAGCCCATCCCTCCATCACAAATCTCACCATGGGGTCAGTCTCACTTTGGAGGGGTAACAAGAATGCTCCATTACATCCGAGCCCGAGGTCAGCAGAGACGAGCAAAACATGCAGAGGGTGGTGGTCTGGCACTGCTCGGGTTTGCTCCGAGACCGACTTCAAGACATTGACGAATACCTACGCTACCTTACCTGACCGTGTACATACTCTCAACTTTCGGTGACTGGACAAAGGATTTCGGTCTATCCGTATAATCAACAACGTTGGAGTTGCCCATCACCCACCCGCACAGCGCTGAATGATGGATGGTGCAAGTTTGATCATGAAAGTTGGATTATTGCATGTTCCTTGGATGATGGATCTGGTGTCACCGCCCTCGCCAGTCGCCACCATCTTCGACCGCTGATTCACATGGTCCAAGTGGAGAAGATGCGACCAGCACCTGAAGTCTCCCTGTCACCCACCCATTCACCCACGGACTTGTGAGCAAGGGGTTTTAGCCTCGCTTTTAGGGGTCCTGCGATCCGGGGCCAGCATACAGACGCGTATTGGCTGTGGGCGGCATTTGGAGTTGGACATGTGGCCCTTTTTCCTCACCTCCTTTGTTCACCAAGGCTATCGCCAGTCTCCAAGTGCCTCCCAAGCGCCCCCCCGCAGGCGCATCTGCTGCATATGGCCTGGTGCCAATACTACAAAGGTGGAAGTACGGATACCTACAACCTTGAACCTGCAGGCTGCGGGCTGCCAGGACTGAGGAGAGACACCGCCGCCCTCGCCGCCAACGCCGTTTCCATCCTCGAATCCTTGATCCATCATCGCACTTCGCACGCGCAGTCCCGTCGCACGCACCCGCCAACGTCGAGTCACCTGCCAATCTGTCCAGGTTGCGTCAAGTCTATCCAGTGGATGAAGGGCCGTCTCGAGTCTCTCGACCCCTCCAGTTGCTCAAAAAAATTCCCCACGGAACCCGCCCGACGCGACGCACCTGGCACCCACAAACAGAAAACCCCACCAGCTGATTCTGCGAGCCTGCAAGCTACTACGACTGCGTACGAATACGGTCCTATTGGTACTTTATTACGGATACCTTGCCATAACGCTGCTGCTGTTGCTGCTGCTGGGCATGAATTGCATCTCGTCTTCCTTGCCTTCTGTGCGCGGTGCTTGACTCGGTGGCCGGCCAATCCTGACAACCAAGCGCCGATATCTCATTTCCATCCCATGTTCCATTCCCCCAGACTTGCGGCTTGCGGCTTTGCCAGGGCACGATAACATTGCGTCCCTCTTCGCGCCAGGGCAACATAAAGCTCGAGGTTCATCCTTGATCTCATGGTCGCCTGCCCCTACGTGAGACGCAGACCCCCCTCGCTCTCTTAATCACAGTCAAACGGCGCGTTACCAGTCTGACGCCATCGTTCTGCACGGACCTGGATAGTTTCTCCTCTCTCCCACTGCGCAGTGCGCGCAGCCCATCATCTGCCATCGAGGTTGGCCTCGTTATTGATATCCAAACGCTATTTCCATCGACAGCTTCGTTGCGCCAACACCTTTTCTACCCCATATCTTCCGCCTCTCCCTCTCCTCCTCCAACCAAGGTCTCTTCCTAGACTTGTTGCTTTTCACCATCTCCGCATATATCGCCTCGCACCGGCGCAGGGCTTTCCAGAAGAATTTGTATTTCTTCCCAAAGCGCATAGTCGTACTGCCTCGGCATCTTCCTTCATCCGGCTCTTGGACATCTGCAACCTTATCTCATCTTCTTTGGATGCACGGTCGAACCAGACAGACTACCTTATGCTCGACCGATCTTAGGACAAATTTTCTGTCGACCCCTCGTGCCCAACGACACCCTCCTTTCACCTCATCCTTCTGCTCGTCCATTTTTGTTTTGGTTTTTCTCCCTTACCCAACAACAACAAAATCCGCATAGCTTGCCGTTGTAGTAGACCAAAGCGACAGCAAACAGAGTTCCTTGGCCCTGCCCCGCCAAACCTGGCTGGGAAGACATCCTGTGGAACGCTTCAAAATGGCGGGCGTCCTCACGTGGAAGAGTCGCTTCGGTGGCATCTTTGGGAACAAAACCAAATCCGACAGTGCCGAAGCCACAGATGACGAGAATACGAATATTCCGAAATGGAGTATGGGTGTTCTCAACGACCCCAAAACGATTGAAGTCCCTGGTAAGCAATCAACCCCCTCTCCGGTTTTCCGCTCATGCCAAGGCCACCAACAAGTTGACACCCTGCAGGTTCTGTGCTTCTCCTCGCTGCGCATCGCAACGAGCCACTCGGTTTACGCAATGCGCCTGCAAGGACTTCCCACTCATCCATCCCCACTGGTTTCCCGGAGCCGGTAGACACACCAACCGGCCGCCAGTCTCCGGCCAACACGGCCCCACCTGAGCCCGATGCAAAGACGACCAAGGACGGAATCATCCTCAACCCCCAGCCCGAAGAGTCTGCGAATGACCCCCTTAACTGGCCTTCATGGCGGCGCGATTGCGCTCTGCTGTCTCTTGGTTTCTACTGCATGGTCGGTGGTGGCATGACTCCCCTGCTTGCCGCCGGCTTCACCAACGTCGCCGAAGACTACCACATCGAGACCGAGACAGTCTCCCTAACTACTGGTCTGTACATGATGGGCATGGGTCTCGGTTCCGTCATCTTTTCTCCCACGGCTATTCTGTACGGAAAGAGGCCCGTCTACCTCTTCAGCTCCATCATCTTCATCCTCAGCTCTGTGTGGGCAGCCCTGTCACCAAACTTCACCTCTCTCATCTTAGCTAGAATCTTTCAGGGTATTGCAGTCAGTCCCGTGGAGTGTCTTCCCTCCGCCACCATTGCAGAAATTTTCTTCCTTCATGAGAGAGCGTTCCGAATCGGCATCTATACACTCTTGCTGCTCGGCGGCAAGAACCTCATCCCGCTCGTCAGTGCCCTCATCATTCAAGGTCTTGGATGGCGTTGGACTTTCTGGTAAGCAGTCAACACGTACGGATACCACAAGACTGCATCGCTAATATTTCGACAGGATTGTTGCCATGATTGTTGCCTTCTGTGGCGTGCTTCTGTTTCTGTTCGTGCCAGAGACCTTCTGGGACCGAACACCGCTCCCCAAGTCACGGAAGCCGTCCCGCAGACCGAGCTTTACTCGCCGATTCTCATCACGCCATCACGTTCCTCAGGTCCATAGCGCTCATGAAGATGCTGTTGTAGCTCCCACAAGTCCTACGCCACAGTCGCCACACGCTGCTTCGCATCCGCACAAGGACCTTCACGTTGGATTTGCGCCAGACCCAAACGAGAAAAAGGATGACAGCATCGACAAGCAGGTGAAGGACGTCAAGGATGAGACGCCGGACTCTTCCAACCCGGTGCCCGTCTCGCGGACGTCTGGCGCGTCCGGCACACCCACCTCCGGATCGGATTATTTCCACAACGCCCCAGCTATCGAAAGCGAAAAGTTCAAGATGCAAGCTTCCGACGTCAACTCACCGCCAAAGGCCCTGGCCTACACTCACACCCTCCGCCACCAGCCCGCGAAATCCTTCACCGAGCAGCTCAAGCCCTGGAACGGCCGCCTGAACCACGACAGCTGGTTCAAGGTCATGCTCCGGCCCTTTGTCCTCTTCGCCTACCCCGCCGTGCTGTGGTCGGCCGCAGTCTACTCCCTCTCCGTCGGCTGGCTCATCGTCGTCTCCGAGTCGGTCGCCTTGATCTACCGCAACCGTGAGTCGTACAACTTTGACGCCCTGCAGACGGGTCTCGTCTACCTCTCCCCCTTTGTCGGAGGCATCCTCGGCACCGCCGTCGCGGGGAAAGTGAGCGACATCATCGTCAAGGCCATGGCCCGCCGCAACGGCGGCCTCTACGAGCCAGAGTTCCGCCTCGTCATGGCGGCGCCGGTGCTCGTGACCACCGTCATCGGCCTCATGGGCTTCGGCTGGTCCGCGCAGGAGCGCGACCACTGGATCGTGCCGACCATCTTTTTCGGCCTCATCTCGTTTGGCTGCACGCTGGGGTCCACGACGTCCATTACCTTTTGCGTCGACAGCTACCGGCAGTACGCGGGGGAGGCGCTCGTCACGCTCAACTTTAGCAAGAACATCTTCCACGGACTCGTGTTTAGTCTGTTTGTCACGCACTGGCTTACCTCGGACGGACCCAAGATGGTGTTTATCTGGCTGGGCGTGATTCAGCTCATTTTCCTATTTGCCACGGTTCCCATGTTCATCTACGGGAAGCGGGCGCGTATGTGGACTGTGAGGAAGAATTTTATGGAGAAGTTTTAGAGAGGCATTGTCTGTTTTTCTATGATATTTTTCTGCATGCAGTTGGAGTTTAGGGGATTTACATTTGCATTTGCATCGCAGCGTCTTACAAGTTTCATCCACCACTGGATGAGGTCTCCCAACGAGTCGGGTAGCATATTTCACGTGGGAATGAGGCCCAAGTGTGCATTTGTTGGATGGGTTGGATTTTGACGACTATTGCATCTTTCCCACCTGGAGATCGGGGCTTATATATGGCCTTTGTTTGCCGACATTTGTTCTCATGATACCTTTAGAGTTTATATGACCTAGAACTAGTCCCAGAAGACATGAATCGAATCTAGATGAAGCTATTTTCCTGAAGTTTTTGACGTTTGGACTGCCAGCGGGATGTCACTTGTGGGATCCGGGCTCTGCTCAGGTATGCCATTGCCGATGAAGTTTGTGTTTTTAGTTGATTGAGGGTTGAGGGTGTTTGTCGAGCCGAGTCGTAGCCGCTGACGAATGTGAGGTGATTGAATATTTGCTTTCGACTTTTGCACGTCACTTCAAATGGCACTCGACCTCCCCTATTCCCTTTCGATGCAGTATGTCACACCCCGTTCCTCACATTGAGGGCGAGTGGTATATGATGAATGAAGAGGGAACAGTCACGAGGCACCATACGGAGAAGACTGCGTTTGGAAGGATGGATGGAAGAGCAAAACTGACTATTCTTTTACCCCCCTTTTTATGGGAAAAGAATGATAGACGGTGTAGATCTACCTTGGATAAAGCGAAAAAAGAAAACCAAGCACTGCGAGAAGAAGCAAAAACGGACTGTCCAAACCCTATCCCGCTCCCCATTCCTTTTTAAATCCAACAGAAACCTAGTAAGCTAGCCGTCTTCACCACCTCGCCAAGGTACGCCGATATCCCATCAGCCGAAATCGATCACGACTCGCAAGTGAGTGAGTGAGAGAGAGAGAGGGAGTCGAGCCTGCTTTTCACCTCCCGCTCTGGGGCATTAGGACTGCGGCGGTTGCTGCTGCTGCTCGTCGTCGCTACCCGAGCCCGAGCCGGTGGCTTCCCGAACAATGAGCCCGCCAAGATACTGGTGAGAGGGGCTGTTGGCGACCTGGGACATGAAGCTGGTTGACGTCGTTGAGGACTCTTGCTCCCCTCCTTCTCCTTCTTCCGCTGCGGCCTTGCGCGTGGGTGAGCCGGGGGAGATGTCCTGGGTGGTGCGGGCCTGGCGCGGGCCTGGGCGTTGCGGGATCGAGGCATCCCGGGCACGTACATCCTCCCGTTCTCTTCGACGTCTTAGCATCTCCGCATAAGCCTGCTCTTGATCAATCTGAAGAGAAAAAGTTAGCAAATGAAAAACTTGGGAGGCGCATTTTTGGTGGGAAGGGGGTGGGGGGTGAAGGGTTCAACGGGACTTGCCTCGGTCACGGTCTCCACGTCTAGTTGAGGTTCTCCCTCGTCCGAGACGTCAATTTATCATCTTCTTCCCCGACTTCTTCTTTTTCTTCCTCGTCACTGTCAGAGACCTCCTCTGGGTATACGGTATAATCTGGGTTGCTGTCTTGCAAAGGACCGAAGCAGTCCACGAGCCAGTCGTCAAAGGACTTTGCGGTGGTGGCAGCAGCCCCCTGGGTGGTCGTTGTCTCTGACCATGCTTTGCCATCATCCCATTCCTCAGGGATCCAACCGAGGAATTGACGCATCTTACCGCGTATACCGAATTGTTCCCATGGGTGGGGGGGCAATTTCATATGGGCAAAGTAGGCTGGTACCCCTGCCTTGCCAGCTTCGGTGTGCTCCCAGACATAGGAGAACAGGTGGTCCAACATGACGACTCTGGGCGTCGGGAGATCAAGGCCGTTGTTTCGGAGAGTAAGGAAGACGTTGCGAGGAAAGATGTCGGGGACGGACACGCCCAGATGCATGCACACAACGATCTGACCGAGGAGGCTCTTGATGGCGTCCAAGCATACTTGGCGATCCAGCGGCAGCATCTTGGCCTGGCCCCTGCCCTCCGCTTTGTGATCGCTATGAAGCGAAACATCCCTGCCTAGCGGCGGCTGGAGGTATCCGGTGTTACGGTCGCGAGTGCACATGGCCTCAATCGAAAGGCCTTCAATGTACTCGATGAGAATGAGGCCGACCCAGGCGTCCGGGGACGAATCGCTGTTCAAGGCCTTGCGGTTGGTGACCCAGCAGCCATAGTATTGAGCAGTCATGTGAGGGTGTCCGGACTTTCCTTTCTCGTAGAGGAACTGGTACACCGCGGCCTCGCGGCAGAGCCTGCTGTACGCGACGGTGGCGTCGTCAAAGGGGGGTTCGTTGGCCAGGTCGAGTCCGCCGCGCATGGGATAGAGCCGGGGGTCGAATACCTTTGCGACGACCAAGTTGTCTGATCGCCTTACCTTGCTCTGTCTGGGGAAACTTGGAAAGGGCGCATGCTTCTTGACGTCGCTGCGGTCCGTAGGTGCTTGAACGACCTTGCAGAGCAGAATTTGAGAGCCGACGTCTCTGCCGGCTCGCAGCGGCTCCACGATCTTGAGCTGAGGCTTCTTCGGCTTGAGCTCCTCCGCTGTGGGCTGGAGCGAGCGCGGTTGGTAGTCGTCTTGGAAGGGCGGGAACTTCCCCGAGCCAAATGGCTCCCATGGGTGATGGGGTACGAGGTCGAGCTTCTCTCCGTGCGCATATCTCCTGGCGGCTGCGTTACGGATGGCCAACTCATTCATGATGGGTAGAGCGAGAATAGTGCCAAGGGTAAGTGTAAATCGCTTCGACAGTAGACGGTGATCACAAGGTGCGGAATAGTGAACGGGAGAGAAGGCCGAATGGCCGGCCAAGTCGCCAACTGAGTGAAAGAGAAAGAATATGCCAATTCAACTTGTGCGAACAAGATGGCGGGAGAGTTACAGGGCAGAAGTGATGGTGGCTGCCGGACTGGGGTCGACGTTGGAGGAAGGATTGCCGTTCGGAGGTGTTGTTGTGGGAAAGAGTGAAAAGGAGGGGAGAAGGCAAGAGAAGGAGAGCTGCTGGACGGAGATAGATAAACCTGACCGGACATAATTTGTTGGAGATGCCTGTGAACATGGACGCAAAACTGTGTATGGAAGGTGGTATAAGCTGCAGGTGACGCCCAAGTCCTCCATTCTCACTGGTTCTATCATGTCCTCGCGAAGAATCCATCAAGAAAGAATTAGAAAAAAAGATTCAACGGGCAAATGTTCGCCGGCCGCTTTCAATTGTAATGGTTGGGTTTCCCGCATACGTACCAAGCTGCAAGATGCCATCCGGGTGGCTACAGAGGTGGTGAAGATGGCCATCCGCTGCGTTCAAACCATCTCCTCTCACTACCTTGAGTACGAACGCGAAACAGAAACAAATCGAGTTCCATTGATAGAGCAAGAAGCAAGGAGTAGATGTGCCACCGACAGACCCAAGGGTAGAAAGACAATAATTGCCATTAGAAGCCCAAAGCGCGTACACCAAGACTTGGCGGATGTAAGGGCTCCGGACCACAGAGTTCAGGTCCTCGAAGTGGAATCATCAGATACAGCTGTTCTCAGCAACATAGAGCGCAGCGTGATTGGCTGGATACTGGTGGTAGGAATAAGCCGCTGCTTGATGAGACTCCCCGGCTCCATTCATAAGGACAGCTGTGATGGAGGTTTTGCTCGAGGATTTTGCCATTAGCTGTAGCTGCATCGCCGAATACGCGTGAGACAGGCAGCATGATTGAACACATGCAAAGGTATTGACGCCAGCATCGCCGTTCAGACAGGCATGAAGATACAGTGCTTCCAGTACCGATCTCATAGTGTCAGCCCTTGCTCAGCCTCTGGGTAGTAGATACGTACAACTTGATGGCACACCCAAAGAGGGACCCTTAATGACCGTTATGACTTTCTCGCCCTATTCTCAACACCTTCCTTTCCTCCAAGCCAAAGTCCGTCATATCTCCCTTCTTGTTTCCCTCCCCCTAAGTCAACTTTCGTTCTCTTCTTTCGAAGCTCAGTGAACCGGCTTGCATGTGACGCTGGCTTGTGTCCCATGGCCTTCTTCCAAATCTTCTCATTGCTTTTGATCGTCTTCCGTCTTCGCGCTATAGGCCAACAGGGATATCTGCGCGTGAGCACCTGGAATACGGAAAGCGGGCGTAGGAACAGCAGCGTGTATAAGCGTGAAGCAATAGGAAACAAGTATCCCTTCTTTGACCCCACGGAGTGTGCAGTATGGTCATGCTACTGTGAAGGTATTGATCTGCCCCCGAATAAGGTAAGGTGCATTGGGTTTAATTTACTTTCATTGCCAGCATCCAAAGTACTCTCCTACTTCTCGCTTTGTGATGCCAAGGAAGCCGCGAAAGCGGCCCACATCATACTCACAAAGTTGGACGCATACCACCAACCTGCAAAAAGACAGGCTCGCCCATTGATGCGCCGAGGGGGAATCGAACCCCCGGCTCCCCGACGCTGCTGGATGGCAACGGAGAATTTTACCACTAAACCATCGGCGCGGTTCGCTCTATCGAGTCTCTTGTGGATGCGTGTTTGCGAGGCCAGGGCAGAATCATGTTGGGGATTGTGGATGTATTCTGATGAGAAACCAGACATCAAAAGGCAATTTTGCATTTTCGTGAGTCGCCCAGTCTCCGCCGGGTCCGCCGGACCCCACCAAACCCACCTGTAAGGTGGGGTCGTCACGGACCTGTAGTGCAACCCTCTGGGGCCCGCTTCGGCGTTTGTGGATCACGTTCCACCCGGGGCGCTGCAACACTAACACAACCTCAATCGGTGCTCCGACCGTGCTTGACTTTGATCTGACATCTTCCATCTGACGACGAGGTAGCACGCCATCATCTCGACCTGACCCTTCTGTTACTTGAGACATGTCCAGTTCTACAGTTGTACATGTAGTTACCTTATCCAGGCGTTCCGAGTAGCCATGCCATCAAATCACCATCCGCTCCGCCAGCTTTAGAAAGCTCCGCCTCAGCATCACCTCGCATGCGCCGGTGGTCGTGGGGGAGAATCGGGTTGCACAGGGAGATCTCCCGCCTCGATGCCGCCGCTGTCTGGTAACTTGGGTCAAGAACCATAACACAAGGTTCCTCGCGCATGCATATATTGAGGCTCAGCGGAAACTCAAGTCATCCTTCACCTCCCGTCGCGTCCCCTCATCGATGACCATCATTTCTGCACTTGTCGCCATTCGGCCCATCGTACTTGCCAGACACTCGTGATAGAATCAGGCCTGTGCCCGGTGTGTCATAATTACCTTCCCCAAGATACTCGCCTACGGTGTAGAATAGAGATCTCACTCGTTGTCGTGTGGACCACGTAATCCTAAAGCGAAAGTGAAGGTTAACAAAGTAGACGTGTCGTAGATCGTTGTGTTCCATCGCTGAGCTCAACCCGCCGGTAAAAGGCTTGCATCCCCATTATCACATCTCACATCCATCACTTGGTCTCGTGTCAAAGTTATTGATCAGGCGAACGTGTCTTTTATTCGCATTTCCTCGAAATCCGTCTGGTGTCGCGATTCCAAGCCGTCCCATGTAGTCCACCGGGTTCTCTCAATCCGGCACTCCTTCCTAAACCCCTCGTCTATCCCAAGCCGGAACCCGAAAAAAACAGAAAGCCCAAGAAGACCCGCCAAGAGGAGAAGAAAGTCCAACCCAAGAGCGTCGAGTATGCCCAGTGTACATGTATGTGGTGCTTCCTCAGAAGCCGAGGCCATGCATGATGTCAGTCAGGCCGTTGTAGGTCTCCATGCTGGCTCTGGCCTGCATGTCGAGAAGCTGGCTGATGGTGGCCAACTCCTCCGAGATGTCAGCGGCAGCAGTGCCAACATTGTTGGCGGTGTCCTCCTCAGAGTCCTCCTGGCCAAGGTTGGCCAAGCCAGTGGTGCTCTTCTGAGCAGGGGCAGTCAAGGCATTGGCCTCCTCGACGCTCCGAAGGAACGCCTTGTCATGGTAGCGCTCGGCAAAGCGCTTGACAGACTGGCCCATGTACTCAATGTTACGTGCAGTGCTATTGTATATCATTAGTTTGTATTCCTTCCCCGGGGATGCGGTTTCACACGTGAAGCCGCATGAGAAAATGGAGGATAAGAGTGATAAGTAAAATTAAGGAAAACTGTAGACCGTGAGAGAGCCACGGCCGATTAAAGCTTAAGAACTGGAGTGGTGAACAGAAGTGAAAGGAAATATGGACAACAAGAGGATGCGGTTTCACTCATAAAGCCGCATGAGAAAATAAAAAACAAGAGCAGTAAGTAGAAATGACAGGAATTGAAAACAATGGAAAGGGCAAAATTGACAGAAGGTGAGGTGATGAGATAACAAACAGCACTGCTTACCGGTTCGCAACAAGCTTGTTGAGGGCGTCAGACAGCATCTTGACCTTGGCATCGCGGTCGCGCTCGTAGATGTAGTCGGACATGCTGGCGCGCTTGATGCAGGTGGTGCGGAAGGCACGGTACTCGGAGAAGACCTTGGACTTGAGGGCTCTCTGCTCAGGAGTCTGGTTGGCGAGGTAGGTTCGAGTGCGCTGAGTGTTGGGGTTGGTCGAGTACTCGCCTCCCTTGCGGCGCGCGTCACCGTTTTCACCAGCCATTGTGAATGTCGGTATTGGGTGTTTTGATTGATTGAAGGGGATAGTTGGTGATTTTGATTGTCTGGGATCCGAGAAGTGAGGTATTCTCGCAGATGGGTTGTTGTGTGGGTGAAGAAGTGGAAGTGGTGGGTGGAGGAGGGAAGAAGGGAACAAAAAAGTCGACCGGCAGGCGGAATAAATCTGGCGCGTCACCCAGGCAGTGAGATAAATGCACTCACAAGGAAAGTGCAGAAGGAAGTAGAAGGAAGGAGAGATCGACTGCTAAAAGAGGAAATAAAAGAGTGGGATGTGAATAGTTGCACGTGTGTGGGCGGTGAGTGAAGCCTCAAGATGTTATTTTTCGCTACTTAGAAAAAAGCTGGTCATGTGATTGTAATATTCTCAAAGAAGGGCCTCCTAAAGAATAATCGACCCCTTCCTTCAATATAGCCCATAAATACGGCAGGTACCTTGCGATTCCCAGACCATCTGAAGCTATGGGGTCGTCACTTGGGCCTTTCATGGTGCAGTGAGTGCCAACACCCAAGAGCCAGGCTCAACAAGGCGTCCCTACAACCACTGGAATTATCTCAAGCGATATTATTGGATAGATCATTACATTAATGTAGATCATTACATTAATGTAGATCATTACATTAATGTAGACGAGGTCACCTGTCAGATGAATCTCAGCATCATTTGGTTGATCCTTTACCGATTTCATGAAGCAGCCCATCATTGCTGAGCGAAATACTTTTCTGAGGATGGCGAGACCTTGCCCTCTTTCCACTCATAGAACCAAAAACTAATGCTCCAATACTTGGGACTCAGTCCTGAGCTGCTTCTGAATCTCATCGATCATGCCAATCAGGGTTTATGAGACCAAAATCTGACGCTGTCGACAATCCCAGTCAAGGCCATGCAAGCTGAAATTATCTCTATCGAGCCATTATCAGGCTTAATCGACTAAGTGGTGCAAAGATAGAAGGGAAACAAAAACATGATAGGCCTTGCTATATGGATCGTACGAGCTCAATACGATGAAAGCCCTACGCAGAGTCATGGTCGCAGCCAATCTTCCCAATCACTCACTAGTATCTAGAGGAAGAACGGATACAATCAGCCAGGACCCTGCCAAGTGGGTGACAAAATCGATTTCCTGCTATTCATCTTGATGAATACCCCTTTCACTACTCATATCATCATTACTACCCTTTTATATCAAAGTCCTTCTTATATACGTAGAGGAAAGGGATATACTTTGTTTAAAAGATATTGATCTTAGTAATAATAGCGGTGGAACTACTTGTCGCATGTGTCGAGCGGAAATCGATATTGTCACCCATTTGCCTGCGCATCTGACCGATGCCTGTCCAACTTTTCTACGCCAGTAGTGAAGTATCACCTCGAGGGAATTTGACATATTTCTCTCACAGCTTGTCTAGGATATGCTGACTTTTCCTCAAGAGAGGCAGGAGCACGCAAAGACTTTGAAATCCGCCTGATCGACGAATCACCATCGTCTCGCAGGACCGCCTCGTTTCGGCAGACCGACAGATGGCAAAGTGCTTCCTCGCGAGGAGGCTGAATCTTCACAGACGGGACGTATTCACCACATCAGATCACCCAAATACTACAAGCCCATTGAGAGCTCTTCTCGTCCCTTGTATTCTTCTTTAGAGTCATGAGCGACGCTTTAAGACAGCCTCTAGAAATCTACCTTTCCATCGCCACGCCTCAAAATCCCGAACCAAGATACCCGCCAAGAGACCACCCTTCAAACAACCACTTCAACCCAGACCCGAAACCTTCCCTCCGTCCTCACCCCCCAAGAACCCACCTCAACCCACAAACCATCTCCTCCTCTGCCTCGACAGCTCTCGCCAACCAAGGCGCCTTCAACCAAAACGTATGAGGCCACCCCCTCACAACCTCAACCCTCACCTCGACACCCTCCCCCGCAAGCGCCATCGCATAACAAACACCATCAGAGTACAGCGTGTCATTACTACAAACCTGTACCCACGTCCTCGGCAGCGCAGCTAGCGTCTCCGCCTCGGCCTCAAGTGGCATCCTCTTCAGCCCGTCGCGCGGGACAGCGCGCGAGAAGACGCCCAACAGACTCGTGACGAAGGAAGGCGAGGTGGAGGAGGTATACGCGTGTCGCAAGGAGGGAGGCACATAGTCCAGAGAGCTCCCGCCGTCGCTGGTGACTGGACAGCGTAAGAGGACGCCGTGGAGGGATCCGCGGGGCGCGGCTTGCGAGACGGCGGCGGCGAGCTGACCGCCACTGGAGGAGCCGACGATGATGAGCTTGGTTGCGGGGGACGGGTGGAGGGCGCGGATGTGGTGGAAGGCGTCGAGAGAGTCGGAGACGCAGGTTGAGGCCGGGGACGAGGGCATGAGTCTGTATCCTACCGAGTACACCGTCGCGCCCTCCAGGTCCTTGGCGATGCGTCTGCATGATAGCTCTTCGCTGTCTGCCTCGCCGACGTAGAGCCCGCCGCCGTGGTAGTAAATCACGACGATCTCGTCGCCGGCGGGGTTGTTGTCGGTGTCGTCGGAGAAACAGAGGATCGGGATGGCGAACTGGTCTAGACTCGAGGGGGTCGTGAGTGGCTGTAGTGTGATGCTCGATAGGTGGTGGTATGGTGCGCCGGGGGCGAGCATTCGGGCGTTGAGCTGTCTGCATTCTTCCGCGTAGACAGGCTGGCGGTCGAGGGATGATGAGTATGTCTTCTTTGGGCCTTTGGCTTTGACTTCTTCCTCGAACGCTAGCCAAGTAGGATCTAAGAGAGGTGCCTCTTTGAGGATGAGACGGTCTAAGGAGGTCATGTTGAGTGAGTGAGATGTATGTGATTCAATAAGGACAGAAGAATTGAAGCGATCAAATGTAACAATTCGATAACGAGAGGCTCAAGAGCGAAGGTCACTACATTTGTACGCGGCTTTGGTGTTGAGATGCTTTGTGAGATGAGGTTAGACTCAAGGTCCGATAGTGGGGAAGTCGGGGCTTCCGGGCTGTTGTTGTCGCGACGAGATCCCGTTTATCCGGCCGTAGTTCCGGGGAGCCGGGCAGGTCGAGTGTGAGCTCAGCCCCGAGAACCAAACCAGGATATGTCAAAATCTCGGTACTCACCGCGTGCTTATGAAGTAACCGGATTCATAACATATTGCTAGATGAGCCGTGCGAACGGTCACGCTGTTGGGCTTGGCGGCTCGGTGAACGGCCACCACTGCGGTTAGCGCCGAGGAGACAAACTCCGAACCGGAAAAATTCAACCGAACACCAGTATCCTTCAAACCGACTCTGCAGAGCTGGCGGCTCAAAATGAACGAGTACATCATAGGATGGGCAAGGCGCTTGGCACAGCAGGTCGATATTAATGTCCGCTGGGTTGATTCCCTCCCCTTGGACCGATCGCCTATCTACAATGCTAGAGTACACAAAGGGAATCGAAGAACGAACGCGTCTATAGCACGGAAAGATCGCCGAACTTCTCCTGTAGGGGGTATTAGTATGCCGAATCATATCGGGATCGTGCTTTGAACGTACCTTGTATCCCGGAACGGTCCAGCGGCCCTTGGAGACGAGCTGGGAGGTCTTCTCATCGATTGAGGGCTCGGCGGCGGCGACATCGTCCTGTAGTCATAATAAGCATCCGGCCGTCCGCGTCCCTCACGTATTCCGGCGGTACGTACGACAGTGAGGTCCTCGAAGGGGCGAGCGGACTCGATGTTGGTCAGGGTCTTCTCGAGGTCCTTGAGCTCGAGGTCGACCTTCTGCTTGGTGGCCTCGGCGTTCTTGACGGCCTCGACCTCAAAGGCCTCGATGGCCTTGATCTGGCGAGAGACATCGTAGGTGGCGGGCTTGAAGGCGGAGAAGCGCTTCTCGATCTCATCGACGACGGCCTGGTTCTTGAGGATGGAGCGGTACTGAGCGAAGTCGACGGTCGTGGGGAGCTCCGACAGCTGCTGGACCCTGCGACGGGCGTTTTCGTTGCGCTGCTTGAAAGCCTGGAGGGAGGCGGCGGTCTGGCCCTTGAGGCCGAGGGAGGTGGTGACCTTGGCCCAGTCGAGCTTGAGAGCTGCGCTTCGCTATTGCAGGACAAGGAGAGAAATTAGCTCAGGTGGCCCAGCTTCAAGGGAGCGGATGCGCGGATGCGCGGATGCGCGACCCAATTGGCGACATGGGCGGCAATTGCATCAATCGGCGACGAGAGACGAGCGGATTTCGATGGGATACACGTACTGCGGCCATTTTGGAGGATTTGTTGAGGGTTCGGGGGAGTGGAGAGGGAGTTGCGTCGTCGTGAGGTTGATGATTGACTTTGCCGACCGGAGAGCAGAGAAAGAGCCGGGATGGACTGTGTCACGCGGATATTCACGTGATACTTATCCGGCCGAATGTACTGGGGTGTGACTGGCTGCACGGGAACGAACGGTTCAATGGTGGGGCAAAGCTCCCGGCTTTGCGAATTCGGTCTGAGCCAATTCCCGCCAGATCGAGGGGTAGCTGTAAATTCAACCAGACGAGGCTGGTCTACAAAGGCAGGTATTATGAGCAGGAGTCAGTCCACGATGTCACAATAGCCAATCACGCATCACGTATGTCATAAGCGCGATATCCAGAGTGCAAGAAAGCGCCGATTATCATGACCTCTCATTGCGAAAGAGACTTTTCGGAGTCAACTCCCTGGGAATTGTACATGCCAACCCGTTCCGTCCTTTTTGCTGTATCGAGATTTTGAGAAACTACCTTTGACCGGGGCCGCCGCTAAATACTCAATGCCATAATAGAGTTAACGATATCGTTGTCGTTCTCCTTCAGGGCCTTGATGGCCTTCTTCCGGCTAACGTTGGCCTGGGTCATGACGAGCTCAATGTCCTTGTCCTCAATGCCCTCGGCGTCAACCTCCTCACCATCGTCCTCCTCCTCGTCCTTCTTGGTCTCGGCGTCAGCCTCGACGGCCTTGCCGTGGCTGGAGTGGTCGTGGCCGGCGTGGTCGTGCTCACCACCAGCAGCGGCGAGCTGCTGGGCGGCGGCCTGCTGAGCAGTGGCGTTGAGGTCCTCAATCTTGGCCTCACCGAAGACGCTTGAGTGCACAGTCAGTTTCCACACATCGCATGACCCATGGTGCAGTATGCTACTTACATGTAGGTGTTGCTGTTGGGGGACTTGTAGACCTCGGGGCTGTTGATGACGAAGAGGATCTGGGACGTGGGTCAGCCTTGTTCAATATGCCCCCCCGCATTGCGCCGTGCGTGCCACCACCACCACCACCACCGACAACAGCCACATCATATCATGCCAGGCAACTCACGTTCTTGGGGCGGCGGAGAGTGACGCGGGTGATGCCCTGCACTCTGGTCAGGTGCAGCTTCTCGAGAGCCTTGCGGGCCTTCTTCTCGTTGCGGGAGTGGATGACGGCGGTGGAGCCGGAGGGAAGGCCCTCGGCATCCTCGCCCTCAATCTCGGAGTCGGAGCTCTCGTCCTCGTGCTCCTCGACGGAGACCTTCTTGGTCTCGTCATCGGGAAGCTCTTCAACGCGGGGGTTGGCCATTTTGTCGACTGCTGAACCGAGGGAAGAAAAAAATTGTTAGCTGCGGGGTGCTTCTGGTGTGGTGGTGGTGGTGGTGGGAGCTAGGATCGCGCGCAGAGCTGATTTGGCGAGCTCGGATTTGGGTGTCTGTGGGAAGGGGAAAATGCCAACTTTTCGCACAAAAATTCGTCGGTGCAGTCGCGGGTTCGTTGATCGGGCAATGGCGTCAAAAATTCGACAGAGGGGCAGCAACACTTACCAAAGACTAGAACGAGGGATCCTTAACTCGGCGTGGGGGATTATGTTCGGTGGCTTTGTGGTTTGTAGGAAAGATCGCAGAGAAATTCTAGGGTTAGCAGCACCTACTGTGTTAAAGTGGATTAGGTAAGCAGAAGACAACCGCCTGCGAGTCTGCCAACGCTCCCGACCTGAGTGGCTCCCCCATTTCAGGTCCCCCGGATGGGACGCGGTGCACGCCGGGCATTTTGAGCCACGGCCGCCGCCTCAAGGAAATGGATGACATTCTGCCCGTCATTTCTACAAGGCTGAGGCAGAGCCTGGCCGTACATGGGCTCACTACGAAATTTGGACTTAACCGGGATGGATCTAGAACGGCATTTCGAGAACCGACTCCCGGCCATGGCATTCACGTCAAGAATAGGCTCGTCATGAAGATTTACAGAGTCTCAAAAGGAAAACCGAAAAAAAAGTCTTTACTCCGTGTCCCCGTCACGAGCCAACCAATCTATTTTTCTGATTGTGCCATGAATTCATTTTTGTCTCTGAATTTCCGTATTTGACGCCGGTCATCATATGATTGATGATGAATGTGACATACAGCCCTTCCAGTTACGGAGCAAAAGAGATGTGCAGCAACCCAATGCTGCGGTGATGCAGACCAAACCGGATCCCATGCTGTCACGCTCTAAACCAGCCCCGTAGTCTTCAAAGTCAACCCCATAGACATCCTAATCGTGAGTCCATTACGCCGAGGCCTTGACCTTGACCAGAGCCTTGCGCTCTTCGAAACGGCGCTGCTTCTTGAGGCGGAGAACCTTGAAGCGGTCGAAGTCGCTGAGGTTCTTTCTCCGCTCGATCTGAGTGCTGCGCTTGAACCAGTTGGTCTCCTTCCACTTCTGGTCGATCTCAGACTTCTCCCAGAACTTCTTAACGGTGCCGGTACGGGCGCCACGGGGCAGGCCGGCGACGACGAGCGAGGAGAGGAGAACGTTGGAGAGAGAGACGGGCTGGCGGGGGACGGCGAGCTTGGCGTCTGAGGAGGGGCCGTCGACCAGAGCCTGCGATTTGGTATCATGTTAGTCTTCCAGGTTTCCTATATCGTCCACGGAGCGCGCGCTCGTGCGCCCAATTTCAAATCATCATTCGAATCGTATCGGGGGAGAGAGGAGGTGCTGTCGTAACGTACGCGCTTGTGGTCGATGATCTCGACGATAGTCGCAAGGCGGCCGGCGTAGGGGCCGTTGCCCTGGATGAGGACGACACGGCCGACCTCGACCAGTCGCCACTTAGAACCCTCGATGGTAGCGTCACCCATTTTGCTGGTCGGTCTGAAGTTGGATCGCGAAGTTAGAATCGGGGTTGCGGATTTCGTGGTGTTGCGTCTTGCTTGTCTTGGAGGGGCGCGTCAACTTACCAGACGTCGAAGATGTGCTGCTGGTGGTTAGTGGTGGATGGAGTTCGAAGTCACTTCGGCACACTTCTTTTTTTTTCCCTGGGAGGATGGTGCGACTTAGGGCAAGTCAGAAAGCCGCAATGAGACGGATTTGCTGATTAACCGAGCCGAGTCCCTCCCTTCCCAAAGCGGCTTAGCTGGGGCGGTCAGTGGCCACTCACCGCGCAGGCTCCACCGACGACAGAACTTTTTTTTCCCATTCGCATAAAGGTGCAGCTTGCTGAGCTCTCCCTTTGTTTTATTGATCTTACTCTGCATCAGCTTCGAGGTGCTCAGAATTTGGCATCTGTCTACGAAGCTGCAAAAGAACACAAGGTACGTTCATATCGCCCGACACACCCCCTATTGGAATGATGAGAAAAATTTGCGATTGATTTCTTTCGGTGGCTCTCTTTCGCCGGAGTGGCTATATCGTCTGAATATATGATATTCAATTCTTACATATTCTGACCTCCAAACCCAACAACACCTTTCTGTTCTCTGGAATCTCTGTTGGGATATGTTTGACTAATTCGACATTCAGGTATGACCAGCAGTATAGACAACTTGATAGTAAAAAAAAAAAAAATGATATGTAAACGTTTACGTTCTTCAAACCTCGTATATTGCCAATTGTTCTTTATTAATCGTGACCACGGTCTTTCAGACTGCCATGCAACCACCGTGAAAACATCACTAGGAAAGTATTTTGCGTCATGACTTTTGATATTCATCCTATGAACTCATGTATGCTGGTGCTACCCTGCCAACGCCGGACCGAAAAATCATATTTGTGCTTCCCATGTCTATTTTCCAGCCTTTTGCTTCAGGCGGAGCTCGTCCTCCTCCTGGAGCTGCTTGTCGATCTCGGCGCCCCTGGAAGGCTTGTTACCGTGCAGCTTGGCCTATTTACCAATTAGCACTGGTTCTTTCATGCGCGGAGGGCTCAGGAATGCTACTTACGGGGAGTGTGGCGTCCTCCTTCCCAAGGCGGGTCTCGAAGGACTCTTCCTCATCACCCTCCTTGTTCTTCTTCTCCTCAGCAGCGAGTCTGTTGGCGATGGAACGCTCATCCTCTGATTAACTATTAACAGCTGCAAAATACCGGCCGCTGCACGGACAACTTACTGGAGTCTGTCGCCAAGTGAGAGTGCTCCTTGCCCTCGTGGAAACGCTCGGCGTTGTTGGTCTCCTCCTCCTTGGCGTTTCTCTGATCGCCGGCCTCGTAAACGGCGCTGTTGCCAACGTTTGAGTTTCCGGACATGATGATGGTTGTTTTGTTGGTGAGATGGGAATTTGAAGGTATGTTTACTGCTAAAGAACAGGGACGGTGTGTTGTTTGATGAGTGATTGATGCTTGGGTTGAAAAGTGAGCAAAGAAGGCTTGTGTACAGCAGATGAGCTTTCTATATGAATGGGAAGGAAGCTGTCTTAGCTGCACTTGCGCAGCGACCCCCTTCCGGTACATCTACGTCATGACGTCTCCAGCGCCGATTCTCAGCTTAGACGGGCAAAACTCCCTCCTACGTCATGCAATTGTCATTCTCCGCAAAAAAGCCATGACAGATCTGCTCATGCCACATGGAAAATCGGCGATGCACTTGGGGCGGAGAGTAGTTGGCGGCTCTGACTTTACGGCGCATCTTCGTTGCCAATTTTCAGCCATGTCTTTGATGCTGAAGCTGAGTGAGCTTGAGTTCAGCCCATCGCCTGCCTCAAGTCTGGCTACCCCTGCTCACGGTCGATAAGGAATGAGCGCGAAGGTCCAAGATCGATATTAACCTAGGCACCTTTTCTTGTTCAGCTGTTGATTCTTTCAGCAAGCCTCTCGTCTGTAAATAGGAGCGTTGAAGGTGAATCTGCCTGGTGCATTGAAATCTTACCCCGCCAGTACCTTCCCTGACGACTGACCAGTCACTTTCGAGCTTTGCACTATGCGGCACCCTGATCGCGTGCTGCACATCCTGTGAAACTAGATAGGTAGTGAGATGAATTGCCCTGTTGCTGTGGGAAAGCAACATGACATAGCAGAGGACCCATTGGAGCCGCGCCCCCCATCTATTCCGTTACGAAAAAAAGCCAAATCGACGCCCAAGAGGCTCCAGGCCCATCCAAATGACAAAGTGAGGGGTCCCAAGACGTGATGCTCCATCGCTGTGCCTCCTGTGGCCGGTCCCAGGTGCATGGGGCCAGGGGTCAAGCGCGGCAGGCCCCGCCAGTGCGCTAATCCGGCATTGGCGTCTAAAACTAAGCCGCCCGGCTAAATGACGTAAACCTGATAGCTCCGAAGCTCCAGAGCTCCACTACCGACTTCATCGCATCACGCTGCACGGAGCAGAGCTCACGCAAGACAAACACACCACCAAAATAGCCCCCAACGACCTGCCACAATGTTCGGATTCGTAAGGCAGCTCAACCGTCCCCGATACAGATCAATTGATCACTGACACACACTGTAGCGCAAGACCCTCGACATCGTCACTGTCTTCCACAAGGCGAGCTCCCCCGCCTCTGTGAGGGTTGTCAACCTCCTCAAGCAGGTGTCGGCCAACGCCGCCGCCGGCGCTACTGAGGACCAGGCCAGCGACCACAGCGTCCAAACGAGCCCCAAGAAGTCCCGCGCCGACTTTGAGCTCAACATCACCGAAGACCCCCCAACAGCCGACCAGGTCAAGACTATCCTGGAATACGTCGGAAAGAGCAAGATTCCGTCAATCATCAAGGGTGCTTCCACTGAGCAGGATGCCCTGAAGAAGTTCCAGCAGAACGCCGAAGTTTTCCAAAGACCCGTGGTATGTGTTTCCTCCCAGAGCTCGTGGTCCTGTTCAAACCTGTGCTTCTTGACGAACAGACCTGGCTGACTGAGACATGCAGACTGTGGACTGGAACAACGGCAAGGCCGTCTCTGGTGAGAGTGAATCTGAGATTCTCAAGATGCTTAATGCCTTGAGCAACGAGAAGAGCTGAAAGAAGAACGCTCTCTTCAGATGTTTCAAAGCAGCTCCTTTGTCCTTGTTATCCAGATACCTGCGTCCTCCTTCCCTTAGTGGTACATTAGTTGAATGATGAATATACTCTTCTCTCTTCTATGTCGTGTAAAGTCTCGTTCAATGCTTCCATAAAGCTCAATTTAGCTCGTAGCTATTTCTATAGGCTGCCGTCAATCCGTTGATAGCCATCGGAAGAGGCTCCAAGTCGAGTTCTGATAAGTACTATGTTCCTGCAATAGTGCTTGTTCACCCTAATGAGCAAAGCCTCACCTCATATGCAAGCATTGCTACCTCAATTTTCCAGGACCAAATATGTGCCATTTTATTACTGATTCTCAATGAGGGTATGCTACATCAACCACATTGATTCGTTATCGGGAACAGGTGAGCAAGACTTGTTTGTCTCCATGGACATTACGATGAGAGACCTGATGACCTTGGAAAAGATAATAGACGGTTGAAAGAAGAGAACACTTGCTCTTTTCATGTCAAGTTCCTGTGAAAGAAGGGAAAGATGATCCCGGCTACCCACCTATATAGGAAAACTCGTCTACACATCAAGTAGGAGTCATCGCAACAAAAGGAAGACCCAGTAGGCTCATGCGATTACCATGTGAGAGCCATATCTGCTGTCCTTACTGGAAATGTAGCTACCGAGAACCGTGTTGTTGCCTGAGTCCTGCATCCTCCACTTCACCGGTCTAAGGGGTGTCACTGTGAAAGTCTGAATATTTCGTTCTTCCGGTTGATGCTACTGCTGCTCTTATCTACAGGCAGGTGCACCCGCCCATGACTCCTTCCCAACAAACATCTTTGGCACCTGGCCCCTTCCTTCACACCTCTCTCCTGCTTCTAATTTTCACTTGCGTTGTGAATGTTGCCCTTCTCCCTCTCTCATCGTCCCAAAAACAACAACACCACCCACTTCATCGCTTCTTCTCCCTTCCCACCACCAAATCAATCCCTCTCCTACTCCAAAATCGCCACCAGAAATATTGTCATTTTCTCTACCTCCATTGCCTCCGAGCCCATCACCGCAAGCCTATCATCCCGTTGCCAAACGACGTTGGATATACGCAGCTTTGCAGTATGGCTTCCAACATCCATGGAGGACCTGGCTCCTTCCAAGATCAGCGCTTCTCCATGAACAACGATCACGATGGTCGCGCTACGATGGCAAACTCTATGCCCACCAAGCCTTCCTCTCATTACTACCCAAACGGAATTCCCGACGGCTACAAGATGGTCGGTACCAAGGAGGGAGAGACGCCCAGACTTTACATCGAAGACAATCTTCCGATCGCCTTCTATAACCAGCCTTCGAAGGAGATCAAGGCTATTTTTAGCACCAACAATGGCGAGTTTCCCACTCGCGGTCTCAGCCATGTCCTCCCAGCACGCCAAATTGATTTATGGAGCGCTGAAGAGCTCCAGGAGAGGGCCAATGCCATCCGCAAGAAGCATTGGAGCCACATGAAGTCCATGCCGCAGCTGGAGTTCTGGGAAGACTTGTATGATTATTTCGACTGCTATGACATCTACTTCCAAGGCGCGATGAACCTTTGGAATCTGATGCTTCATCTCTACCACGAAAATCAATGTCTCGTTCGCAACCTCCATCAAGAAATCGTTGCGGAAGTTGGTCATTGGTGCGACGAATGGGCTGCAAAGAGCGAGAACAAGAAGAAGCTGCTAGACTTCAAAGACTTCCAGGGCGACGTTCTCAATCTGCTGAGCTCAGAGGATCGCGTTGACCTCCAGGGACTGCCTCCTGTCAGCATGGAACTTGTCCGCAATGCTCTGAAGTTTCGACATGATCAGCTTCTAGGCAAGCCATGGGCTCAACCAGCCTCGTACCCGCAGAATAGCCTCGGGTACCAGTGGGAAGGAGGCACACTACAACATTGGCTTGGTGAGTTGACTCTGTTACCTGCTGAAAGCGCCTGACCTAACCTTGTCAGCGGGTCAACCCGTTCAAGATACTCCTAGTGGACTTGCTCCAGCATCAACCGCCCCAAACCTGACGAAGGGCAACCCCGACTCCCCACTGTCACAAACGAGCCCGGCTGCCAAAGCCTCGCCTCCGAAGCCATTGATCGTGAGCGGTACATCTAGGCAAAATTCAATCGACCATCTCCATCACGATGTTGCTACGGCTGTGAATCGCGTCAGTTATCCCGAGGGTACCCCAGCGGACAACCGGCAGACCTTTTCGGCAAGTCATGGCCATGGTAATGATGATTCTCGTCGGCTGCCTGGTCGTTTGCTTCCCAACGTTGCGCAAACGAATCAAACTTCGATATCCAGAGGCGAAAATGCAGGTCCGGGAGGATCCACCTTTTACCCTCATGCTATTAGACCTGATGGTCATCCATTCAACACGCCTTTCACTACAGGTCCACATGGTATGCCTCAGCCCTATCTTGGACCCGTTAGCCCCCTTCATGCTCCCTCTCATGGCCCCCCTCGAGGGCACTCTCAAGGGCACTCTCAAGAGCACTCTCATGGACCCTCTCGTGGACCTCCTCATGGACCCTCTCGTGGACTTCCTCATGGGCCTCCTCACGGACCCATGGAACCTCCTGCTGGTCCTGGAAATCGCCGTTACGGTCCATCCTCGCAGGTCCTTCCGTCTCCTCAAAGACCTAATGACAACCGCTTCAACAACGCTGGGCATTCGGCGCAAATACCGGGCAGTGTTTCCGTGGGCGGCGCACAGCGTGCTCAATCTGCTGCTTTTCCTGGTGTGGCACCTGAGCCGGTTTCCTTCCAGAGACGCAACGACAAGCGGAATGCATCAACAGACCCTCACTTTGGCCAAGCAGGCGACCGCGGTTCGCAAATGGGCCATCCGCGATTTGAGACAAGATTCAATCCGCGAGCAGCGCCTAACTCGAACGGCTCATCTCATCAGCAGCAGCGCCACCGTGGCGATTTCAAAGGATGGGAGAAGGTCCACAATGCAGATGACTCGATTCATGGGCCCGTTTTCCGTCGTTCTCCAACCAAGGAGAATCGCGCCCGTGCATTATCCCGTTCTTCCGCGTCTAGACAAACTTTCACTTGCACAAATCAACATGAAAAGCTTGGCGATAACAAATGGGCCTATGCGCCTTGCGAGTGTCCTTCTTGCGAGGCTCGTGAACGATCTGTCTTCGTTCAGCTCACCTCTCATCTAATTAGAGATGACCTGCCTGAAAAGGTCCATGCTGTGATGTCTCGGTGGGGAGAGGTTGAGAAAGTCAACAGATTGGCTCTCAAGGACCAGAAAGATTACCCCAACTTCTTTGTCAGGTAAGTGGCAACATTCATCCAGGCTAGAAATTCTACTGATATCAGGTGCTCTCATTCAGATTCGAAGATGGTTCTCGCATCACTGAGATTGCAAGCGCAAAGGATATTGAGTGCCCAGAGCTTCACTGTATGCTCCAGACGCGACCTATTCACCATACGCGCTATGGAAGCTTGATGTATTCCAAGGCCAGCAGGGACGCGAATGAGCAGCATAGAATCCCGAAGTCGTACGAAGGGTCTCAGCAACCTCGGGCTAGCAACCAGGCTCTATTCACTCAGAGTTAGTCCCTATCTGCTCGTATGGACTCTCGATCTCAACCAGTCTCCTTGGAGCAGTATATGATTCCTCGTCCACCAAAATCGCAGGGCAAAGCAGTACATGGTTCTCAGTCCGAAGCGGTACCTGATTCAACTGTTCCACTGCCCACCGCAGACCAAGTTACTCTGCTGCAGGGTAAAACCGAACTGCCCGAAGACGTCAAGCCGACACAAGCCGATGCGACTGGTGATCTAGCCTTGCAACAGTCAAGTGAAGCCGAGTCGCAATCGAAGCCGCCTTCCGAGGAGGTTATTCCCGATGAAGAAAAGACAACCAAGCATGACAGCCCTCGGATTTCCAACAGTCCATGCAAAGTCATTGTCGTCAACTTACCGGCGACACCTCAAAAGCTGACGAAGACTTCGATGGACACTGAGGTACAGGGAGAATCTGACTCTTCTGGCAAGGCTGTCTTTACTCCGGACGACAGTGAATCGGTAGCCTCTCCGTTCAAGAAGAGCTCTCCGGCTTCTATCAGTGACAAGGAAAAGAAATTCGGCGCTCTTTCTGACCAGGGATCGTCTGAAGAATCTGCGAAGGTTATACCTCATGTCTTGCCTGTCCCGGAAGAGGGAAGCACAGCCCCTGAGCCTATTGCGCAAAGTCCCACATATGGCAAGGGAAAGTACAGGAAGATTTTTTCTCACAGAGATACCAGCAGTGTCGAGGTCTTCGACGTGGTGCCTCACATGCCTGGAAGAAGTAGCTCTTCGTTTCTCAAGACTTCCTTTCCTGACGAAGATGGGCCTAGCGATAGCCTTCGCCTGAAGTCTGGACATGCACTGGACAGCTTGATCGATGCGGGCTTTTTCACAGGGGGTCCGATGGCCACCATGACCGATGACGCTTCAAAGAAGAAGAATAAGAAAAACAAGAAAAAGAAGAAGAAGCCGGCATCGGGAGGCCAAGATGAGTCTCTCCCCATTGGCGACGTCTTGATTGTGGCCGCCGATGACAAGACTCCTCATTTTCCGACGGAAAACCATACTGGCGCATCAGAGACTGCCGAAATCATCAACAAGGCAAAGGATATTGTTGTAACAGAAGCGCCTCTAGGAAAGTCAAGTCTCCCGGACCCGCCTAGCAAGAATTTTCGGGCCAACGCTGGCGGCTCACTTCGAATGCCGAAGAATCGCAATAAGAAGCCGACTCAGCTGGACATTGCTGTACGAGAAGGTTCTACTTCTGGAGCGGCCACCGCCCTAAAGGAGGCCCACGCCTTCGACGGCGGCCTTCCATCTGCTGCGAGTACTTCAAAGATGAGCTTCACCACAGCCCAGGAAAGCTGCTCTGGCAACAGCTCGCCTAAGGTCTTATCGACCCCAGCAACTCCATCGTCAGCTCGGACGCCTGAACCGAAGGTTTCACCAGAAACATCCACGGTTGAGAGTGAGGCGACGGCAAAGTCAACCATGCAACTCAATCCAAAGGCAAAGGAGTTTGTGTCGCCTGTACCGCGTCCTGCTGTTCATAGAGTGAAGCTGGCGCCAATTCCATTGGTACCGATCCCGGTGAAGACCACTCAGCATCAACGCAACTTTTCTCGCAGTTCGTCGGTCACATCCCGAACTCTCACTCCAGGACCAACGCCTCCCAAAGCTCAAGCTGAACAGTGTCAGGGACATGGTGCTGGAGATGGCCTCGATAATGGAGAGAGCTCTACAACTGATGAAGTGCCAGTCCAAGATGAAGGCATGCAAAAGTCGGCACCCGAGAGCATGCCGAAGGCAAAGGAGGACCATCCCGCTGAAGGTGATACGCCCGTTCCACAGCCATCAAATGCTAGCAGTGGCAACGGTCAAAGACAGCGTGCGAAGAAGGGCGCTAGCAAGAAAAAGCAGCAACAGCTTAACAGCGATCGCGAACAGCACGGGCAGCAGCAACAGGGTAAGCAAGAACCGCAGAAGAACAACCCTTCGCCTAAGAAGCAGAATGTTCGAGGACACAAGCACGTCCAGCAACCGCAACATGCCCCTGGGACGCACAACAGAAAGCTTTCTGTTGCAAGTAAAGACGACTTCCCGTCCCTGCCGCCTGCTCCCTTGCCTGCTTCCAGCCTACCTGCGACCAGCGTCTGGGGCAAAGCGCGTGCAACGTCGACTGTTACAAAGAGCAGCACCACCACTCCTACCAGCAGCATGAATAGTGAGAACAAGACCAAGGACAAGACATGCTTGGGCGCGCTCCCTCAGGAGGGCAGTGGCAAGCATTAGACAAGGATGTTCGATGTTTGGAGGGAAATGATTTGGGCGCGATACGAACAAATACGGAAAGACGGAAGTATATGTGACAGGACAGGGTTGACTAAGAGCTTTTCTGTAGATTGGAGAGCCTGTTGGGGAGGTATCCCAGAAGCAGGTGATGGGGAGGATTTATTCGTTCCTTGAGAAGGATTTGTGTTTGAGTGATACCCATAGCTCGCGCTTGTGGCTTAGTAGTTGCGAAGAAATAGAATGAACATTGCTCGGAAGACTCTCTATCTGATCATTTATTGCTTGAATGCTTACTTGGGTGGTCGTGAGCCCCGTCATAGGTGACCTGAAGTGAACTCGTCTTCTCCCAGAGACTCGTCTGATCAAGGGCAGAGTGAACATCCCGGGGGACGTGGACACTTTCTAGCAGACCGTATATGGGATCGTCGTAGGGATGATACTCTGCAAACACAGATCACCCCGAACTGTGGCCGTGGCGCCTAGTTTCATTCATCGGCAGCTCGCTGAGTTCAGTTTCAATACAACTTTCGACTCGTCATTCTCAACAACATGGTGATGGTACAAAAGGTCCTTGTTTTGGTCTATTCGTTCAATTGTCCCGCCCGGGTTTATACGTTTATGCGCCGTTCTTTACCAGTGTCGTAACTGTGTCCTCGATCTGCTTGTCCGACAGGCCTTTTGCGGAGTTAGCTACTAAGCGTCCTCGAGAGAGATTGAAAGAGGGGGGGGGGGGGATGACTCTCACCTTCCAGCGACTGGCTCTTTTCAACGCCGAATTCTGTTTGAAAAAGAGTACCTAATCAGCATTCGCTATTCATTCTGTATCATTGGAAAGTGGTTCTGACCGTATCTCGCGTAGATCTTGGGTAGTGTGCCGGCGGCCTCGCGGATGAGGATGGGAGTCTGGGGGTTGTTCTTCTTCATCGTGGGGTAGGCTCTTGCGACGAAGTTGCTATTGCGATGAGGGGTTAGCGGGGGATCGAGGTGATGCGAGAGGTTGGTGTCGTCGTCGTTGGGAGGTTTCGAGGTTGGGGTATACACGCGCTGAGCGTGTGTAGGGAAGTCGAGGAAACGTACCGGGTCGCGGCGCTGTGCTCGCCCGTCTGGCAGAAAAGGAAGCGCACCTCCTTGAGGGCCTTTGTGAATGCGTACTTGCTCGACATCGTGGCTGGGGCTGCGCGAAGGAGGTGCGGACGGGCGACGGTTGGGTCAATTGGCGGGATTCGAATCGATTGGAGGAGCCTCTTTGCTGGTGGACGGACTGGCGAGGATTGAAGTTAACGAGGTGCTCACGGTTCGAGGTGGGTCAGGGAATTTTGCATAAGGCGGTCGGGAACTCAGGATGAGCATAAATTGTCTAATTGGGTATTACTGATTGGTTGGACTCTTGGAGCTGTGGACTTATGCATATGCACAACTCAACATCCCCGATCTAGGGGCCGTTTTTCAAGGTACGCAGCTACAGACAGGTGAGTATTACGTAAGGTGCTAAGGTTCAAATGGAAATTGGAAGGTGAGATCGACCTGGTCAGTGCTCCCGCAGTCAACTTTTTTTTCCCTCGACGGGTTGTCCCCGCTTATCTCCGGTTGACGGACGCTGTTTGCTCGCTGAGAGCTGCCGTGCGCCTTACCTCGCAGTGCACCGTATGCGCTCGCTCGTGCTCCCGGGCCAAAAAAAGCTGCCCGCTCATCTTCGGACGTCCCAAACCTCAACGCATCTGCGTCTCTCAACCTCGCCTCAACCTCTCCCCTCCATCCCTCCCGTGCGTCTATCGAAAGGAAAACCCTCTCCGCTCCAAACCACCTCTGCCTCCGCGTAAATTGAGATCCCTTCTCAATCGATCCTCCGAACCCGAGTTTCCGACGACATATACACACGAAAAGAAAAGCTATAGCTTTGACAGTTCGTCACAATGGCCCCCGCCAACAACTTCTTCAAGGCCGCGCGCCCTGCCTTCCGCCAGCAGGTCTTTGCCGGTGCCCAGATCCGCAACGCTTTCCGCACCTCCCAGTTCCGCGCCCAGTTCCGCGAGAGCTCCAAGAGATGGCAGAGCTCGACTGCGTCCGCCGATGCCCAGGTTAGCTGGTTCAAGCGCATGTGGGACAGCCCCATCGGAATCAAGACGGTGCACTTCTGGTGAGTAGACTGTCTCCGACATGCGATACAAAGGCCTCGCATGGTATTCTTTTGACATGTCCGCTGACTCCGATGGTTCCAGGGCCCCCGTTATGAAGGTATGAAGTCCTGGTAGCTGAAGGTACCTCCGGGTATCTCCCTTGCAGATGTCCGGTCGCGATGTCGGAGGTCGATATAGACCGGACGAAGAAATACCCGAGAGAATTGGCAATGCCTCCATGGAACGAATGCTGACTGGCAACGCAATACACAGTGGGCTCTCGTTCTTGCCGGTGTTGCTGACTTTGCCCGTCCCGCCGAGAAGCTGTCTCTCACCCAGAACGGTGCCCTGACGGCCACTGGTATCATCTGGACCCGTTGGTGCTTGATCATTAAGCCCAAGAACTACCTGTATGTCATGAAGGGTCTCACAAAGGGAACGTGTCAACTAACCTGTCCAGTCTTGCTGCTGTCAACTTCTTCCTCGGTGTCGTCGGTGTCGTCCAGTGCTCCCGTATCCTCATGTGGCAGCAATCTCAAAAGAGTGTTGGTGACCTGGCCAAGGATGTCAAGGAGGACGTCAAGGAGGCCGTCTCTTCCTAGACCTAGAATCGCAACTGCCGAGCAAAGTGGGGTACATTAAGGGGTCCATGGGAGGGACGAGGTAAAGTTGTAGCATGGTTCCAAACTGACGTACCAGCTGCGGCCACGATCCAGGAACAGTCGCGGAGGCAAGAGGAGACGGCGCAGAGCGCTTCGGACTACCCACCCTGTCATGTCATGTCATGCATCAGACACGTCACGCTTCTCAGATCTGGTTCCTAGACACTTCCTTTTTCTAATTCGATATACAACAAGGCCAATATTTCACGGCCCAAAAGATTGCAAGAGAAAGAAAGCAGACCGCGTTCTGACTCGAATCATGCGTTATGGTCGTTGTGCCGTATGTGCTTTGGCTGAAGAGTATACTCTATACGGAACAGCAAATGGATCCCCGCGGTAGCATTCCGCGATTCCCCGCGTAGTAACGTGACCAAAAGACGGGTTGATAGCTCGCTTGACCAGCGTACCGCCAGTATGGATCCTCGACGGAAATCCCGAGACATCTGCGCCATTGTGTCATTCGAGCTGTGTTGTGACATATTCGCCCAGGCACCCCCACGCAAGCTCCCGAACCAGAGTCGAGCCTTGATCGAACCCTGATTTCGAGCGAGGAGACTTGGCCTGGCCTCTGTTCATGGGATTTCATCTTATTACTAAGCAGCTCGACTATGGAATACAACCTTGGCTGATATGACAGTTGGTGGCCGGGCCGTGTACGGAGCGGAACCCCCTTTGCACGGGTATCGAATCCCAACGCCGACGACATCTTCGGCAAGGGCGTCTCTCGGGGAATCTTGGGATGCCGAATCGCTTTGTTTAGAGTGGCAAGCTGCTCAGGCAGCAAAAATTGACCCCGCCAGCGACGATATCAACAGCACGTCGGACTCCTACCTCGATGGACTACATGCCCGAAAGGGCCAGCTGCATATGCGGGCATATGGGAATGCGTTAAGAGGTCCTATCAACGGATCAGACTTGAGGGCACTACTACTAGGCTCCCCGAATCGGCGTGGCCGCCGAAGACGAGTAAGCTCGCCGACCTGCCCTAATGCCATGAAACCCCTGGCCTTCCATCGCTTACGTGGAAATGGCTTTCTGTCTTTTATTTGTTTTACTCCCTCTGTCCCCCTCACACACCGCCGCGACCGTCTGGGACTAAAACCATATGGCCATGAGGGCAAGATGGGAATTGACAATGCGGAACTTGGCCGATACGGGCAGCTAAGATACGCCAGGTGGCGCATCAGTCCCACGCGAAAGGTACCAAGGGGCCCTTCACCGTCCTTCATAGGAAGCTGGGCACGTTTCTTTTTCCGACTCACTTTCAGCTTGCATACCCGTACTTCGTACCTACTCCGTACCCATAACCAACGTCCAATATCGCTCGGGTCAGGGTCTCTGTTCGACAATGAATCGAGCCAGCCCACGTGGTGGTTGGAATAGGGTTGCTGACACCACGCTGGCAACTTTGCCGGGTCGTTTGGCTTGTGACTTGGCTGCTAAGCGCTTGAATCATTGGCCCGCAACAACATGTCTAGTTCCCGAACCCCCTCAGTCTCCTTGACATATGGTACATGAGCCACTGCATCGGACCCAGCATTTCGGCCTTCGAGGCCGATGATATGCATTCTCTCGGGGGTGATGTCATGGGCCTGGCTTCGTTCCTGAATACCCTGGCGGGCCCCTCTCCGTTGAGGAACCTAGCAAAGCTGAAATCGAAAAGAAGGAGGGGGAGGGGACTTTGTTGGATGGCAAAACGACCAAAAGACAAGTCGTTGGAAGCTGAGTGTCTGCCGCAATGGCATGATACACGACTCGGTGTCCCGCAGAGATCTACGTGTGCCGCCAGTCGGGCAGGATCTGATTCTTGAAACCCGATTCAGTTACTGTACCGCAATTTTGCCGGTGTGCTGCGTATGTTTTCCGAGGTAACGTTCGTGCTGCCGGGTTCGACAACTGTGGGAACACCCCCCGGAACCGGGAGAGTGAACCGTTGTGTCGGGATACCCTCCAACATGGTTCCAGTTTGTGTATAACAACCCGCTGCTGCGTCGTTAATGTGCTCGTCCACGAGTTGAGTAAGACTCGATATATCGACGCAGACATGACGAATAGCAATAGCAACGACAGCACCAATGGTCTGGGGGAAGTGGTCTTCAGAGCCGAGGAGACTGCCCGTCAACTAGTCGACTTGGCTAAAGCTACCAAGACGATCCACTTACAGACGCGAAGACAGATGAACCAGCTCCAGTCCGAACTATACCGCACAACCGCCCTATATAGACTTATCTACAACGACCAAATCTGCCACCTCGAGCCATCATCAACCACATTCCGCGGCCTCGCGCCGGTGGACCTCAACATCTGCAGATATTCCTTTAGACGAGCCAACGAGACCCTACGCCTCTTTCAACAGAGCCCGGTGACGGCGGGGCCGGCAGAGACATCCCTCGCAAGCCCGCAGTACCCGAAACTCCTCCTCGAAACCCACAGGCAGGTGAAAGCTCTCAACGACGAGATCCGCGCCGACGTCGTGCTCGCCATCAAGCGCGTGCTCAACCAAGACCTCTTCAGCCGGGACACGCGCGCCGTGCAGCTGCGCGATATCGCCGTGGGGCGGGACCCGAGTCTCGAGCACGATATCTGGCAGATTCGAATCCAGAGAGGGGATGCCCCCTTGATCGCAAGCTTGCTCCTCGCGAGTGGTGATATGTGTCATACCCCTGGCGCTGACGGAGTCGACGGCGTGTCTGTCACGGCCTCGTGCCTGCGGTTCCGCGACGCGAATACCATTGTCGAGACGAGGGCCATGCCGCGGGATGACCCGGATATATGCCGCAAAACGCTCAAGCTCGCTACCTTGTTACACGCCGCGCGGTCGCCGTACCTCCTCCGTTGCACGGGCTTCCGGGTACTCACTCAGAACCGGAATCAAGACAGGGAGCAGGACCCGGATCAGCGGCTGGAATTCTTCTACGACGCCTCCCCGCTGCACGGCTGCCGCAGCGCGGAGATCCACAGACTGTCGGAGCACCTCGGCTCGCCGACGGGTCACTTCACGCGCGGACGGCGGGAGGCGGCGGCGAGGATCCTCTCGGATAAGATCCGGTTTGCGGGACAGCTTGCGAGGGCGGTGAGCGAGCTTCATGCTGTTGATCGGGTGCATGGCGCCGTGCATGCTGAGAATGTGTGGTTTGGGGTTAGGGGCGGAGAGTATGAGGCGAAAGTGTCGGTGCCGTTGCTTGTCGGGGCTGGGTTCGAGCAGGGGGAGGTGAGGCGGTGTCGGGTTCGTGGTGGCGGTGAGGATCGTGGCGATGGGGGAGAGGCGCTGGAGGAGGGTAAGAGGAGGGATATATTTGCGTTGGGGGTGTTGTTGCTGGAGATTGGGCTGGGGCGGCCCATTACGGAGGTTGCGTCTGCGTCTGCGACTTCGTCTTCGTCTATGGCCTCATCTTCGGGTAGTGCTGGCTCTAGTGTCGGCGTTGGTGCTGTTTCTGCGGCAGAGCATCTTGGGACGTTGAATGCGGTCATGGGTGGGAGGTATACGGCTGCCGTGCGGGCGGCGTTGGATCCGCGGCAGTTGGCTGTCGCGTTCTCGGCCATGGAGGCAGGAGGTGAACCAGAAGGAAGAGGAGGAGGCGGCGAGAACGAGGACGAGGACGAAGAAAAGAGTTTGTTTGGTAAGAGTGGCAGTTGTGGACTGGATCGGGCTTTCAGGGGAGTCGTTGTCGATGAGTTGTTGGGTGTTGTTGGGAGGGCGTGAGGAACGAGGAGGTGATGCTTGGGGAGCTCTGGGTTCTAGGGTCTATCTTGGATGGGCTGGTCTGATTGAGGTCTACTGACATTCCAAGCATCAGACCCAGGACTGAATTAGTACTTAGGCAATGGCGATCATTCTCATTGAATGTCAAGATGAGTTTGAGAAGTTGGACGTGAGACTGGGGTCGACGTCGAATGCAGTCAGTTAATCACGGGGTCAAAGGTAGGAGATACCGGCATACTAAAAATTTTGATTGATTACTCTCCTTCCACTACGACGTGGAAGTAATAGAAGAAGCAATTGAAAACTACTTAACCTTGTTAGAGGTCGTACGCTCTGGTTTGCCCGCTTCTTGCAGGGCCAGTAGTGCGAAGGCCCAACACATGATAATCATGCGGTCAATTTGGCCAGATTATCTTCCACGATCAAGAATGCCACGCATTGATCTTTTGCGCCTGTAAAGACGGAGAAATCCCCACGACATACACATCAAAGACCGTATTCGGAATCACCGCCGTGATCGGTGTACTCGCCAACAACTGTGTCCCCCTCATTATCATCGGCGTCTTCCTCGTCGTCATCGGTGTCCTCCTCGCCTTCTTTGCCAACTCGAGTATTCTTGAAATGACCTCGAATACTGTCTGGCGAACTCGAATCAAGCTTAGATCTCTTGCGCGACTTCCATTTTGAATGATCGTCAGGTCTTGGAGTTGGCTCATCCTCTGATCCCGTCTCAGGTAGTGGCTGATCCTCACAAGCGGCCTCAAGTTCAGCTGAAGGTGGCTGATCCTTACATTCGGCCTCAAGTTCAGCTGAAATTGGATGGCCGATCCGCCGCAGAAACTCCCTCTCCTTTCTAGAAGACTCGACCATAAACTTGTGATCCGCCTCGGCTTTGGCTAGACGCTTCTCCTTCGGAGTTGGATGGACGTCACTATCCTCGATGATCAGGTCGTATTTTCCCTGTTCGATGAGCATAGGCTTCTCCCGATCGTATTGCTCTTGACCCGTCTTCCATGCTTCATGCATTTTCTCCGTAAGCATGTCTTCAGTCGAATAGCTCCCTCCTGCGTGGGATCTCCAAATTCGCTCGCGGCCCAGACCTCGTAGTCCCCTGGCACCTTTTCCGTCCACTCGGTTGAGAACCAGCCTCTGAACTCCTGCAGCTGGCTAGCATTGTAGAATCACGTCGGATTCGGAGGAAATGGAAGTCGTTGCATCGGGTACTTGTTCATCACATATCTGCGGGGGATCGGCGGTGCTTCTTCGTCTAACTCGTCGAGCCGCCCGTGGGTGCTTTCATGGGACTGGGACCACACAACACAGAAGCTGTAGTCGAGAAGGACAGGGCGGATGCTTTCTGGGGTCTGTCGGTCTCGGGTGTTCTGGAGGAAAGTGAGGACGATGTCATGGGGATCGAGACCCTTGATGACGGGGCCAATATGCTCGAAGTAAACACCGCCGTGTATAACCTTCTTCAAGACTTTCAGCCGCGATGCAGAGTCGTTCAGAGACAGAACTTTCGACGCACTGCTTGCGTGATCGATGTAGGGAAGGGAAGCCTTATCGGCAATCAAGGCTCCGCTGTGGTCTCGTTCACACATCTTTTCAAGCGAGCGGTCCGCAATGCACTCGATGAGAATCGCGCCTACACATCTCCATTGGAGGGTTCTGGGTGAAGAGGATCTGCCAGGTTCAGGTGAATCGCTAGCGTCGAACTCGAGCGCCCAGCTGCCGTAGTACTGCGGTACCATGTGAGGATCACCCGTGATCTTTTGCTCGTAGAAGTACTTATAGGCATTAGCCTCCCGACTATATAGTTGGTTGGAAACTTCGCTGGGTATGAGTCCGAAGAAGTAGGAGAGCTGATACAGAAGGAGGAAGGTTGGGTCGAAGATTTTGAGGACGATCCTGAGCCCGAGGGTAAGACGATGACGAGTGTCGCGGCTGATGGATGGTGTCTTAGTGACCCTGCAAAGGAGGATAAGTGCACTACCCTCGATGTCACCCTTCAAGCATCTGATGGCCTCGACCTGCACTTCGTGACCCGGCTGCTCAACTGTGGGGTCGAAGTCGGGAGGAGCCACTCATTGGACTCGGGCCTTTCTGATCCGTACTCTGGAAGGCCGTAGGGTATACCAGAGCTTCTGGGACAGAGCGTCAAGAGAGCGTCAAGACTTCTCCTGGCTTATAACGCCCGAACTCTGTCCAAAGGTGAATTTGTCGCTGGCGCTCATCCTCTCCACTTGCTTCCGGCATGCCAGAGTCTGACATGATGAGGTTTGATCAGGCCTGGCGGGGAGAGAGTGTAAGTTTCTCAAGATGCGAGAAGGCGAAACGGTGAGGAATGAAAGGGATTTTGTGTAGGGAAAAACACGTTTCGACGGTGCGAAAGTGTAAGGGAAAAAGTCGATTAGAGAGGGCAGAGTGATTTCGGTGGCGCATGAGTTCGAACTTCCCCGGTTACCCGCAAAGGTATAAACGAATGAAATGAGGCACCTCAAGGTTTTAAAGTTGCCTTAATACGGGCCGGATGAGGAGAAAGACCTAAGGCCTCTGCGATGGAAGGATGAAACAAAAGTTGGGATCACATTGAGAAGGATCTTGAAAAGGTGAAGGAAAACTACCTTGACATTGACACAAGGAGGAACATAGAAGTACTTTCGCAGCAAGTTACGGCTAGGAAAAACCGGCAAGGACAGCTCACCTGTCCCAGGCAAAATAGCGCCGAACACCCGAGTCCACGATGTTTGGATTTACCTGACCAACTAATAGGAAATTTGCCAAAAGCCCAAAGAATGAAGATGCCTATAGGAGATTCAAATCCTCTAAAAGATACCTTAACAAGTGTCTAGAATTCGCGGCTTGTACTTCGATCGAGGCTTAGAAAGGAAATCAGAACAAAGGTGGTGTTTGCCCGGAAAGGAACCCCCTATGCTAGGGAATGAGGCACCTTTGTTACCTGTGTTACTACCTATGCGACCTCTGCAATCTCCAAGGATAAGTTTCAGTTGCAGAAGAAGAACTTGCCCAAAACTTGTGCCGGACTAAGCGCCGGGAGGAAACATCGTCGGTGCCAAGATGGATTTCAGAATTTGATGTATCAGTTGAATGCCCAAAAATTTCATCCGAAATGTTCATAGAAATCTGGATGCGATGAGAGGAGGAAGCGAGGCAAGCTCGGATACTTGCATCTCATCAAAAAGGACGATGTGCTATCAGACGCAAATCAGCAATCTTGGATTAGCCATGTAGGATAGACGGATGAAACGATACTGGGCTGGAATGTGGGACATTGAAACTAATATCTCTGGAGGGTTAATGTCAGATGAGAGGACGAAAGAAATAAACCTCGAAGCGAGGATGGAAAGATGATTCTCCCAGAAACAAGGAGGGATTGTCGGCTTATGAACGACACTTAGGAACTGATATTAATGGTATACGTGGAGGAGGGACCAAGTTTGAACTGTTCCCAGTTGTTTCTTATGTTGTTCTCAGTTGTAATGATAGAGGTAGAGTCAAGAACACAGTGCTTTCAGTGTGTTTAACCCGGATTCCACGGGAATTTGACAGCAGTGTGTGTCAAGCGTCCTGCAAGACGCTCCCCATTTCGTGTGACATGAGCGAGATATGCCCGAGCTATACTACATTGTTGTCCGCAGTTTCCATGTCGTGAAAGAAGCTGAAGCAGTTTCAGGAAGGGAATACTGCCGTTAAACAAGGAGATGTCTTTCAAGGTACCAAATTAGGAAGCCAATGAGGTTCATGCCAACAACAAATCAGCAATGACTCCAAGTCTGTCTTGAGCCATTGGGATGCGACGTTCTTTGATCTGGGCATCCAAATCGACGTCTGAGCTGAGGCTGTCTCCTTCCGAAACAGTTATTCCTGTGATATAAGTGGCAGACTATCAGTTAAGGACTCTGAATGGCCATGCACCACGTGTGGGTGAGTACAGAGTCACCGCCCCCCCTTCCCCCCGCCCCCGTCGCACCTTCCCACCATATTTATCAAATCTAGACCTGGCACTCACTGAATTATTTCTTACTGAATTGTTTCTTACTGAATTATTCGAATCATTGCACCACAAACCCAGAAGACTCTGGATTCCTCCCTTTTCTTAAGCCGTCTCTCACTTTTCAAGCTGGAACGGATTGCCTCACCTTCTTCATTCGCTAATATAGCCAGCCTTTACGCCTTCTACACGTCGCCAACATCATCTCCAGCTGCATCAAGAGCTCAGAATGCCTCCGCTGCCCGCCCAGATGCCGCTATCAGCCAAGACGTTACTCTTCGGCCTCGACGATGACCTCGCCGACTGGTTCCCCCCCTACGGTGAGCCCGCCGATCCTCCCTTACCGCCCCCAGAGACCGCGACCAGTCTGCAAATGAGCGACTTCACCCACGTTACCTTCGTCGACCCCATGCTCTACATCAATCTGGTCCAGGAATGCTTCCAAACCGACGCCCACCTGGAGCCCCTCAAAGACCGACAACTGGTGGGAGTCAGAAACGACTTGCGCTGGGGTGCCACCGCCTTCGACGTGTGCGATCAGCTCTTTGATCCCGCTCACCCTTTCGTGTTCCATCTCCTCCGCCGCCATCCCACGCAGCCCATCCCGTCTGTGGTCAAACACAGTTGGCAGGATACGGGGTTATGGGAATTGAAGAGAGCCGTGTACTCTCTCGTGGCCCTCCACGATCCAGCCGAGATCCTGCCTCGGAGCTTTCCACTCAGTACCCGTCGTCGTCGTCGGTTCGCCATGATCGAGGTGAGGCCCTTTGGTACCTTTGACGCCCTGGTCAGCGACTTGCGCAAGGTGGAGGAGAAGAACAAGAACAAGAACGAGAACAACCACGACGAGGGTACCTCCATCGTCGGCCCCGACGTCTCTCGCCTCCAGCCCACAACCCAGAAATGGCTGAAGCATATCGCAGACACCTGCCTCAGCCTCCGAATCAACCACGCCGCTATCACCGACCATGTCCACCTCATCATGTTCGTGTTCCCCGCGATGAACATCAGCCAAGATTCCTCTTCTACCCCTGGCCAACTACCCTCTCCCGGGGCCCACGGCGGAACCTTTTCTGTTTCCATCGTCAAAAGAAGCAGAGAGAAGCCTGTTGCCTACGCGGGATGGCTGAGAGCTGCGGCGTGTGATACACCTTTTGATGCTTGAGATGAGGGCAAGTAGAGGGTTCCTGGTGTGAGTACTATCTATTGAATCTCTCTTCGTTGCTGACTGTCTATTCCGTGACGTAGATGACCGGTTTTGATTCTATCGACAAGAAAGCCAAGGACCGATGCGAAAGGAGAATCAGAGTGAGCGAAAGGGAAGGGTAGAGAGACAAAGCAGAAAGGATCAAAGAGGCAAGACGAAGCCGGGGAGGGGTAGTGGGGACATCATGAGGTCCGCGGACTGACAGATTGACAACGCGCCCCCCGAGACCTTATCCAGACCGAATCAGATCAGCATAGACAGATCTATAGAATGGAATCACCCGGGATCTTAGAAGAAGACTGCGCAAAGTTGGTGACGTTTTCCATGTCTATTCTTGTGTACGACCAGAGTCCATCGAGGTCTCCTGGCGATGGCAGCCATTAGACGGTTATGTCAGAAGATGGCATCCCAAACTCGACAGGTCAATCGTCGAAGCACAATATTCGATAACCATCATGTATCATGAAACTTTTACCATCATAACTCGTAAATATCTCATCTAGATCGTACACTCCACCAACAAACATAGGAGGCCCCGCCTATCTCCTCTCCTTATGCTCTCCGAACGCCAGCTCTTCATCCTCACGCCCCTTCTTCATCTTCTCCACAGCCCCTCTTCGCCTCAACATATCCTCCTCCTCCCCGCCAGGCACACCGCCCCGACTGTTCCGCTTCGTAATCGCCTCCTCCTCCTGCGCGATGTACTTCATCGGCCGCTTTGAGCTCGTGGCGTCCTTATCGCGGAAGACGAAAATATCATGGTTGTCTGCGAAGAAACGGTCCACGTCCTCGAGAGAGCGGTCTGCTGTTTCAGGGTAGAAGAGATAGACGATGGGGATGAAGGAGAAGTTGAAGACTGTCCAGATGATGTAGAATTGCCAGCCGAGGGAAGAGATGCCTGGTGGTGTGATCTCGACGACCTGTTGGTGGGTTAGGTCTCTATGTGCTTTTATTTGCATCGGAGGAGAATCGTGGGAGACGTACCATGAAGTTGACAATCCAATTTGTTGCGGTGCCGAGAGCGGCTCCCTTTGTACGCATGGACAAGCTGTTGATCTCGGTGGGGTACAGCCAAGGCACACCTGTATCGAATTAGCAAACATTGACCCAAAGAATCGGGAAAGGACTTGACGTACCCTGCCAGCAAATGCCAAAGAAGACGTAGTACAAGAAGAAGAAGGCGATTGAAGCCTTTGCCCACTGGGACTGCGTCTCTGGTGCCAGGCCAGCCATTTCATTGTAACGAATACAGATGGTAATGACGGCGTAGCACATGAATTGGCCAAAGGCACCGTCTGTTTGCAACAATCAGCTGTCCTGTGCGTATTCATCGGGCCTGGATTCGACGTTTCCACAACTTACACATCATCATCTTTCGCCTTCCCCATCTCTCCACGTTGGGAATTCCAATCAAACTGAACAAGAAGTAGCTGACAGAGTTACACGCCGCCAGTAACCTCGCTAGTTTATTGTCCAAACCGACGGAATTGATGAGAACGAGAGGCAAATAGTAACTTGTAACATTAATTCCGGAAAATTGTTGCATGGCCTGGGTTCCACACCCGAGGAATATACGCCGGATGGTGGACGTTCCCGACGACTCGCCGGTCCGGCCTCGGAGGAGGTCCGACCAGGGGACGGTATTCTCTCTTTCGTAGTTGATGGCCCACTGGATGTCCTTGGACTGAGTCTGGATATAAGCATCGTCGACAGGCATGTCTTCCAGGTCGGCAAGGATCTGTTCGGCTTCGGCGACGCGGCCTTGAGCCATGAGCCAGCTGGAGTTATTGTCAGTCATAGGAATCCAGCGGGTGATATTTCTGGGACTAGGAAGGGGACGTACCGAGGTGACTCAGGCAACCAGGGGACGGTGCCGTAGAGGATGAAGATGAAGAAGAACTGGAAGGCCAGGGGAACGCGCCACGAGATGGAGCCGGTGAGGTACGAGAAGCCAAACGTGACCCAGTTACCTGCTCATCGTTAGTATCTGGTACCGAAGAATGAGGCCGGGAGATATCCAGAGAGGGAAAGGACGAGGAAGACATACTCAGCGAGAACCCAAAGATGTTCATAATCATCTCAATAACAATCAACTTGCCTCGCCAACTCGCCTTACTCGTCTCGCCCTGCCACACCGGCGCGGTACTGGTATTAATGCCGTTCCCAATACCCGCGACGACGCGGCCGACGAACATTTGCGGGAGGCCAAAAGCGGCGGTCTGCAGGATGGCGCCAATAGACATGATTGTGGTGCCGACGAGAATGGTGTTCTTGCGGCCGAGGCGCTCGCCAATCCATATGGTGGAAATTGCGCCGAGGAAGCAGCCAATGTCGTAGATTGCGGTGACGGTGGATTGGAGCTTGTCGTTGCCGACGATGCCCATCGTTTGGAGGAAGTCATCTGTTACGATGACGCCGCCGAAGACGCCTTGGTCGTAGCTGGTGGGGTGTTAGATTAAAGATCCTGAGAGCGGAAGGTTGGAAGATGAGGCTCTGTGGGGAAGGAGTTTGAGGGTGAAAAGAATTGGTGAATGGTGGAAGGTGAGCTGAGGTGAGGAGGATGGAAGAAAGGAGCAGACGTACCCGAAGAGTGTCATGTCTGTCGCGCAGGCGATGGTGACCCAAAAGGTGAGCCACCCGCCCTTCAAGCCAAACCATCCCATGATGAAAGGCTCAGTATGAGAAATCGATCCAGTTGTGTGTTGTCGTCGATTGGTGAGAGTGGTTGTAATTTGTGAGAGGGAAGGTGAAAGAAAAGGTGAAGAGCAAACGGTGAAGCGGACCGAGCGTGGAAGAATTAGTGCTGGAACCCGTGCTGTGTTTTCCCAATCCCGATGAATACCAAATTTACCCTGGACTAGACTAGACCAACAAACATTTGTCTTGGGCTGCCATTGTTTGGGAAAGCGGCATCAGACGTAGTCTATATAGAAAGCCAAGAAAGGGAACTACATACGTTGAATTCCTCCGACTAGCGGCATCATCTCTCCCATAGTGGGGGCCCCGTCAATTAGTCCCGAACCAACATGGGGCCGGGGCACGCCAGCCAACCCCAGACAAGCTCTACCAGTAACAAGGCGTCGCCGCTAAATCTATCGCGGCTACCTGCCCAGAGGTACCCCTAGTGTGCTCGTCGCCAGTCTGTGGGGTAATGGGTGACGGATCGGGCGGTGATGGGAAAGGCGCCTGACTAGTGTGGATAACACAACGATGTCATCGTCATGGTGCGGCGGCGTTAGTGGCATGCGTCCCAGGGGCCTCAGGTCTCGGTTCTACGGTCTACCTACCTGTGGCTGCCAAGGTAGAACATGCAGCTTCGGCAGCAGCAAAGCGGGAAACCAAGGTCAAGACCCATGGTTGGTCCCAGGGCGCGATGGCCGCTCGCTGGTATCGACGCTGATTAGGCCGGGCCGACTCGAACGATGGGAAAGGATGGATGGATGGCGGGGAATCAGTCAGCCCCAATGCATCAGAGACAGACTCGAGGTTAGTGGTCCATTGGCCACAGTTGGGAGCAGGGATATTCAGAGTTTCGGGGTTGAGCCCGGCCGGCTATGTGCGAGCGGTCGTTCTGTATGCATCTTTCTCTTGTCTCTACTCTCAATGGCCGAAGGGATGACATGATGGTTCGGCCAAACCGTGGCAGTCCACGACGCGGACTGAGTCAAGAGTCCAACCAAAGCATGGCAGCAGGGGACGGGAAAAGATGGAAAAGAACGGAGTGGGAATCTGCACCCCGCATACTTGATCACCGCTACGTACCCACGTTCATTCCTTCACAATAACGTAGGTACATAACCTGGAAAGGTAGGTAAGGCAAGGCGAGAAGGCGCGCTGTTGACGTTGACGTTTGACGTTGGCAAAGGTGCAGCGATGACGTCGCTTGGTGGAGACTCCATCCGCGGCTCTGAAACGGGCGAGGCGTGCCGGGGCCATCGCCGTAGTCGAAGCTTAATTCCGTCGATCCGTGGCTTCCTCGCCTCGGCGGTCAGCGCCGCGAGTACGTACCTGTCTTAGTAAACCATCTTTCACAACCAACCTTACATAGTAGGTACCTTACTCAGTTCCTTGTACTCAGTTCCTAGACAGGACAAATTCAGCAAAGTGGGCAACCGAGAATGCAGTTCGTTTCTACCTCATCCTTTGGGTTATGTGGTTACACTGAACGATGAGATCGCGAAACAGACTTGGGTCGAATTCTCCGATTCATCCACGTCCTTATCCCCGCCCTCCGGTCGTCACTTCCCACCATGGAACGAGGCGGGAACAATCCACAAAAAAGAAAACTGACGACTCACTGCATCTCCCACCCCGAATCTTGCATTGCTCAAACCCCGTTGAAAAATCCCGTCCTGGAGAGGCTCATGGGGGCCGATCGGACCGAATAGCAAAGCCCACAGCAGACGATGCATTCGTCACACTATTACGATGCGGGGACTCCACGTTGGCCGCGTTTTTTCTCCCTCGTCTCCATTTCCATTTACAGATAGACACCTTCTTTCCTCCTGTCAGTCTGATGTAATCTCTTCCTCGTTCCAAAGGCTCCGTCCTAGTGCCATTGTAACGCCGTCTCATTCCATACACATGCAAACTCCTAGGTGTCTACCTACCTACCTCCTGACATCGCTGGTAACCTCCTCCACATCAAGCAGCTGTCAACTCGACATGGCGAAAAAGGAGGCTCTGCGGAGGAGGGAACATGGCTGCTTCCGCGGTCGTTGGCTCGGAGAGTCTCCGGCCCCTCGGACGTTGTAGTCGCAACCCGTTCCCTCCCTCGCCCCCCACATGCCATGCCAAGTACCGGCGCGTTCGCGGCTGCGGCTTTCATTAATTCGATTCGGTTGAGCCGCCGAGCGTAAGGCCGAGCAATGCAGTAAAGTTGTTGACTCGTTTCATTCAAACGGTTTTCTCGCCAAGATACTTCGTAACGATTTCTGTGAATTCGATTCTGCACTTTGCTGTAGAGCGGAGAGGTTTATCCTCGTCTTCCCAAACTCCCGGCTTTGTCTCAACAACGGCCTTTACCTCTTCATGACACCTAACCCATTACGATTACTCCCAGCCATCTTGACACTCTTCCAAACCCCATCGGCATACAGGCCCCGCCGTCACATTGACAAGAACTCCTCCACGCACTCCGCCGGGCCGATAAACCCAACATACCCATCCGGCCTCACGACCACCATCCCGGCCCCCTTTTCGAACCCGTACCGCTTGTGCAGCACTCCGTCCACGTCCTTGTAGCCCCCTTTTCCAACCGTCTCCCCGGCGTAGATCTTGATAACACCGTACTCCTTGAACCTTCCGTCCGTGACAATCTTCTCCTCCGCCTTGTCCAAGTTCTCCTCGTCGTCCCCCGCACCGCCTGCAAACAGGAAAATCGTGTGGTCCCGCGCGCTCGTCATCCCGAGCAACCACTTGCCCTTCTCGCCCCTCTCGTCTGTGACTTGCCCGTCCGGCGCCCGCCAGCCGCCCCTGACAGGCCCATCAAAGCCGACTGCCGTGCCGACAATGGAGCTGTTGCGGTACTTGATGGCCATTTGCGAGATAAACGTGTACAGCGACAGCCGTCGCGCCTTGTTGCTCCAGATCCGGGGCACGATCCACGGCATCAAGCAGTTCCGCACTGTTGTGAAGATTGTGTTTTGCGACGACACCATGGTGAACATGCGATCTGTGCCCGTGAGGAGGTGCTGTCCGACCGGGTGTCGCTCTTCGTTGTATGTGTCTAGAAATGCCTCCTCCTTCTCGCCGCGGATTACGGCCGCGAGCTTCCAGCCTAAGTTGATGGCGTCCTGAATGCCAGTGTTCATACCCTGGCCGCCCGCAGGGGAATGGATGTGCGCCGCGTCGCCGGCCATAAATAGCCGTCCGTCGCGGTAGTTATTAACACCGCGGCAGTTCCACCGGAAGCTCGTCAGCCACAGCGTCTCTTCAATCTCCAACTTCTTCCCCATCATCTCCTCCACAAATTCTTCAATCTCCTCCTTGTCCGGGTCGCCCTCGCGCTTGCTCCTCGATGACCTTTCACCCACGAAGCGGACCACGCCGTTCTTGAGAGGAAAGACGACCATTACTCTACTGCCGAGATAGAGGGAGACACGCTCTGTGTCATAGTCGCCTTTCACTTTAGCGTCGCAGAGCATGAATTGCTGAGGATATTGCGCACCCTCAAACGTCACGTCGGCGCTGTGCCGCACGACGCTATGTGCACCGTCGCAGCCGACAATGTACTTTGCCCGTACGACCTCCTTCGAGGTGCTTTTTGTCAAAGTGGTGCTCGCGCGGACGCCGTCTTGTTTGATATCGTCCGCCGACACACCCCGCTCCACAGTACCGCCATAAACCTCCAGCTGCCGCAGCATGGCAGCCTCGGTGTCGACCTGGGAGATCCACAACGGCAGTCCGAAGCGGGTATCGTCGAAGCCGAGGTCGTCAAAAGTGCCGGTGACGAGATGGCGCTTGTTGCAGTAGATGTTGACGCCGGGTCCCGGGGTGCCCTCGGCGAGCATGGACTCTGCGATGTGGGGGTGGCGGTGGAGGAGCTCCTGTGAGCGCGGCTGCACGGCCAGGGCGCGGGACTTGTCTGACGGGACGGGGGCCTTGTCGATGATGCGGAAGGGGATGCTCTGCACCGAGAGCTCGAGTGCGAGAGTAAGGCCCGTGGGGCCGGCGCCGATGATGAGAACATCTGTTTCGCTCATTTTCGGTAGTGATGATCTCTTGGTTGACGATGTCAATGGTCTTTTCTCTGATGGTGAATGCATTGGTGTGTTAGTGCTTCTGAGTGGGCGATGGCAGCAGACGCCAACCGCGACGAGGCAAGGCGGGATGCTACTTTAAATAACATCTTTTTCCCGCGTAAGTTCGTTTGGGTCATACTGCGGAACATCTAGGGGACTCGATATGCTTCAAAGAGGACCAGAGTTTCCATGCCCAACATCAGCTGAACGAACACGTCGGCACCTCGCCTTCACAAGCTCCGTGCTTCATCATAACCGCGTACGTCACGTTCATTGCCAGATTGTCGAGGGAGAAGTCCGCGGGCGAGAGGTAAGACGGGGAAACACGCAATTTGATTGAGGTGCAGGGTTGTCCACACAACGCATGTCAAGGACAGATACGGGAACCGGGGCCAGATTGAGGCTGGTCGCACGCGGGGCAATGGGGTCGTAACATTCTTCTAGCTGGCGATGGCCTTACTTTGAACGGTAAAGTGTATTCTGCCTGGACTTGGCTGTCCTTCCTGGGCCACTTGGGACGATGAATGCGTTGGCTGGCGGTGGTTGAAATTAGCTTGTAGTCGGCGGGCGGGAGTTGCAGCTGGGATCTATGGATGAGGCGAGTCACGTGAGGTATCGGAGGTCGGTCGCTTTGACTCCCGATGCTCCGACTTTGTGGGTCGCCCGGTCTTGGAAAGTGTGCAGAGTGAAGGCTGAGATAGTCATCTGGATGCTGCGACGAAGATCCAACGGAGAGCTTTTCTCGTCGATCTCGGGCAATGCAGGAATTGATTATAAGTCCAGTCATGGAAGTCCCTCACTCGAACTTTTATAAAGCAAGCAAGATCAGTATTCATGCCTTTGAGGGTTTACTTGGGGTGTTTCAAGACGCATTTCTCCAGAGGTTGTTATGTGGCCCTCGTTTGTTGGGGAACATGCATCTGATGTGTCTCTTGGCAAAAGTCAAATGAGATAGACTTTGGAACCTCGAGATAAGGGCCATTTAGAGCCCTCAACTGAGAGTCTGCCACTTACCTTCACAGGATGAACTAGTCGGAAAGAAAGAATCTCGGCTCCGACATTAATTGAGATATCCAGATCAAAGATCTCTCTCTGGCGCTTTGAGAAGTCGCATTCCAATACTCAATGCAGGCCTAAAGTGAAGAAGGAGATGCAATCCGTTTCAGCTTGGAAAGTGAGAGACGAGCTCAGAAGAAGGAGAGTCTAGGATTTTCTAAAGTTGCAGTATAGTAAGGTAAATGGTAAGTATTAGGTCTCGATTTGATGGAAAAGGTAGGAAAGCGCGAAGCGAGGGTGGCGGTGACTCTACTCTCACCTACCTACACCTGGTGCACAAGGACCGAAACCTCGCCAATGCCTGACAAACTGTTTTACGACCAAGGAGATAAGCATATTTTATTACACCTTTTTTTCTTCTTCTTTATTTTAGAACAAAGAGACAAAGAAGTATGTAACGCATTCCACACACTAGCATTTCCAATAAGAAATACATTACCTCGTGAGTAAGATAAGAGAAGGAGGTGACAGAGTAGAAGGATTGTGATTGCTACACTGTACATTGTCGATAGCAAGTGCCTGCGTCCAACGACCTCCCTCAGCGACATTAAGAAGGTTCTTCTTCGTCTCTCCGAATCGGTGATGCTTCCTGCAGATCATGCGTCCAGTAGTTCCAAGCCAAGAGAGCATGCGTCGTGGCCTTGGCAAGAACCGAAAGCGTGTGCCCCGGGTAGATGAGATACTCATTCGAATCGTCGCTTTTCTGCACCAAGTCTATGGAGAGTCTGGCCCCTGCGGGCTGGACTTGAATGA